TTTTTTTTTTTTTTTTTTTTTTTTTTTTTTTTTTTGTCTTTTTTCCGTGTCCGGCAATGGATCGCAACCCTCGGTGTTGCCCCCGTACCGGACCGGGGACCGGCAACGGGATCACAAGCCTCGGTGTTGCTCCCGCGCCTCGCTCAACCAGTGAGCGGGAACCGGTCTGTATATGGGATCCGAACCCTCGGACGGGAGCGCCGCCGCGCTTCCCAAGCGGCGCACTATCCAGTGCGCCACCAGGCCGGCCCAGAATTTCTGATTTTAAAAATGACAAATATTTATCATCTCAGTTTCAGTGGGTCAGAAATTTGAAAGCAGCTTAGCTGTGTAGCCCTGGCTCAGGGTCTTTCATAAGATTACTGTCAAACTGTCAGCCACAGCCACAGTCATCTCAAGGATCACCTGAGGTTTTCTTCCAAGCTCACTCACAAGGTTTTCTGGCATGTTCTGTTCCTCATGTGCCCTTGTACTAGGGCCTTAGTTTCTTGGTGGCTGCTAACTGGAGGCCTTCCTCAGTTCCTTGCCACATGGGCCTGTACAAAGGGCAGTGAACAAAATGAAAGCTGGCTTCTCCCAAAGCAACTTATGAGAGAAAGACAGAGAGAGCGAGACAGAGAGAGAGCTCAGGACAGAACCCACAGTCTTTCATAATTTAATCTCAGAAATGACAGATCATGACTCTTGCTGTATGCTATTTGTCAGAAGTGAGCTGAGTCCAACCCAAAGTCAAAGAGAGAAATCAAGCTTTGTCTCCTGAATAAAGGAGTATCAAATAATTTGTATGTATATTTTTCAAGTCAACCCAGTTTAGTTTAAATCTACCATTTTGGAATTTGTTTTCTATTTATCCCACCTGTCCCATTTTACCACTTTCTTTATCTTCTCCCTTGTTTTGGGATTTTTCATGACTCCATTTTACCTACTTTTTTGGTAATTAGCTATAATCATTTTTAAGTGATTATTTTAGAGTTTATAATACACATCTTTAACTTACCACTTAATGCATAGTATAAGAGTCTTACAACAGTATAATTCCATTTCCCCGTCCAAGTGTTTGTATTTGTCATACATTCTATTTCTACATATGGTATAATACATTGTTATTATTTTTAGAGTAGTCAATTATCTTTTAAGGATAATTGATTTTTTAAATAGCCAAAAGTAGTCTTTTCTATCTACCTTTACCTTTGCCACTTCCAGTGACCCTCATTTCTTTGTATAGATGCAAGTTTCTATGTGGCATCCTTTTTCTTCTGCCTGCAGAACTTCATTTACCACATCCTGCAGTGCAGGTCTACTTGTGACAAATTATTTCACTTTTTATATGTTTGAAAACATCTTTATATCATCTTCATTTTTCAAAGATATTTTTGCCTGGTGTAGAATTCTACGCTGGCGTTTTTTTCAGTAGTTTAAAGGTATTGTTTTCGTGTTGTCTGAATTGCATCCTTTCTGGTGAGAAGTCTATGGTCATTATTATCTTTTTTCCCTTTATATAATGTGTTTTTATCTCTGACTGCTTTCAAGATACTCTACTTATCATGGGTGTTAATCTATTTGAGTATAATATACCTTGGTGTAGTTTTCCTTTTGTTTCTTATAGTTGGGATTCATTCAGATTCTTGGATCTGTGGTTTTTTAAAATGAAATTTGGAAGTTTATATCTTCAAATATTTTTGTCTCTTCTTTTTCTCCTCTCCTTCAGGGGCTTCACCTAAATGTGTATTAGGTTATTTGAAGTTGTCTCACAGTTCACAGATGTGCTCATTTTTTTTTTTTTTTTCAGTATTATTTTTCCATAGCATTTAGCTTTGGGTATGTCTTCAAGTTCACTTATCTTTTTCTCTGCAATACCTAATCTGCTGTAATCCTATTCAGTTTATTTTTTGTCTCAGGCATTTTTGTTTTCTTCTTCAGAAATTTGATTTAGGTCTTTTCTTATATGTACCATATCTCTACTTTCATGCTTTGTCTTTCCTTTACCTTCTTGATCATATCATATAATGGTAATTATTGTTTTCATGCCTAGTAATTTTATCATTTCTTGCTGTGTTTTCATTCATTTATTTTTCTCCTCTTTATGGGCACAGTTTTCTGTTTCTTTACATGCTTGACAATTTTTGATTGGATGACAAATTTTGCTAATTTTATCCTTTTGGGTACTAGATTTTTTTAAAAATTACCAATCTTACTTTAATCACTTAAGTTATTTGAAAACAGTTTGGTCCCTTTGAGGCTTGTGCTTAAGTTTTGATAGGCAAAACTAGAGCAACCTTTAGTCTGGAGCTAATTTTCCCCTTTATTAGGGCAACAGCCTTCTGATTACCCTACCCAATGCCCCATGAATTGTCATGTTTCACTCTGACTGGTAAGAACAGGAACAATTCCCAGCCCTGCGTGATCTCTGAAGATTGCTTCTCCTGCTAACTTTAGGCAGTTCTTACCTTGGTCCTGGATATTGTCTTTACACATAATGCTGATCAGTACTCAGATAATACTTGAGAAGGACCCTCTGAAAATCTTCGGAGCTCTCTCTATGAGCAACTTCTGATACTATTCCCAGTAAACTCTAGCCACGTTGTTTTCCCTGAACTTTCTGTGCCATCCCCTCAACCTATGAAGTCTGCCAGGATCCACCTGTTTGCCCTTCCCTGTGCTGTGCACTGGAAACTCTCTCTAATTAATAACCTGGGATAATTATAGGACTCCCAATGTTCATTTTTTCTCTCTTAGTGATCACTCTCCTGTGCTGCCTGGTATCTAGCATCAGAAAGCTACAATTTGTATTTTCTCTCATTTTTCTAAAGGTCTCAAGTGGAATGGTAAATCTGTACCTAATTATGATAGTTTCCTACTGCTGTCATAAAGAATTACCACAAACTTAGCAGCTTTAAACAACATCAATGTATTGTTTTATAGTTCTGTAGGTCATAAGTCCAGTGGGCTTGGCTGGTCTCTGTTTCGAGTGTTAAAGGCCAAAGTCAAGGTGTAAGTACAACTGAAATCTGAAAGAGAATTCATTTCCAGCCTCATTGAGGTTGTTGGCAGAATTCAGTTGCATGAAATCATAGGACTGAGGTTCCCGTTTCCCTGATGGCTGCTGGATGGGAGCTATTCTCAGATTCTAGAAGCCACCTACATTCTCTAGCTCGTGGCCCCTTCATCTTAAAGCTGCATCAGGGAGTCAAGTTCCTCTCATACTTTAAATCTATCCTGCCTCTTTTTTACCATATCTCTATAACTTCATCCAGAAAAGGCTCTCTGCTTTTAAGGCCTCCTATGAGTAGATCAAGCCCATGCAAATAATCCAGGACTATCTCCCCAGTTTATTATGTGAAACTTAATCACATCTGCAACATATTTGTAGGATCCAGGGATGAAGGGCATAGACATCTTAAGCAGAACAATATTCAACCTACCACACCTGGGGTTGAAATAGAAATCAGATTTTATTATAAAATGCATGAAAAACAATGAGAAATGTCAGGAATAGTATAATGAATTCCTGAGTACTCATTAGTAGGTTCTATCGGATCTTCATATTTTGCTATAATCATTTTAGGTTTTTAAAATAAAATAGCATTAATTGAATGATATTTTATGAGTTAATAATATGAAAATGGAGGCTGTCTTATTGTGTTATGAGAGACTCTCATGGTTTAAGCTACTAAGAGCTCTGATAAATTCACCAAATATCTAGATAGATGCCAAAAAGTTTTATCATTTAAGTGAATATATCTGGATTGTTCCTAAAAGGAATGAAGAGAAAATTCGGAATTTATTTTGTGGTCATTTAAAGAGTTGGAATTCACTAACCGGGTGGAAGTTCTAAAAGCACTGGATTTTCCATCCCACTGTGCTCTGATAACTAGCGTGAGGCGTGTGTGTGCAGAAGGGAGGTGGGGGATCCTCCCAACCTGAATCTGCCTCTGGGAGAGCCGACCAAAGCCCTGACAGGGCGGATCTGGGCCCAGCCAGTCCCTCTGGGCTCGTGGTCAGAAGTTCCCTCTCCCACGTGGGGAGGCGGCATCTAGCAGTGACCAGGCTTGTCTTTGTTCTGCACTCACAGGTCAAGCCCTGTCAGCGACCACGCCCACCACGGAGCCTGCGAAGCTCTCTCCAGCTCCCACTCCAACAGGTCAGTTGGCATGTGTTCTATGGGGAGTAGGAAAAGGAAGCCACGTGACAGACACTGGGCTGGCACCTACTCAGACCTGAAGCCATACTGAGTGGTGACCATATTCCTACAAGGACTCCTTGCCTCTGAAGGAGATGAGTCAGGAATGACATTGCATATTTGACTGTGACCTTCAGGCTGCATCTGTTTTCAAACTTTTATCTTTCTAAAGTTGGTTTAGGGGATGTCCTAACTGCTAAAGATGCCTCTGTCTGTCCCCGCCGTTTGTCCCAGGTGGTGGATTATCTGCAACCATCGCCACAACAGAGCCTGCAGCCCTGCAGTCCACACCCACTCCCCTGGCGGGTAAGTCCTGAAGAAAATGTGGGAAGGGGCTAACATTGATGGAACATTTTGGTTTTCTTGTCACATAATTAACATTTCACTTTATGCTCACACAGTTTACCCCAGCCTCACACCCATTTTTTTTACATCGGGAGACACATAAAAATTAATTTTCCTACAGTTAGTTGACTAGAAAGTGGTAAAGTCAGGACATGAGCACATATCTGTCTAATCCCAAACCCATATGCCTCCATTTGCCTCCTCCTTTGGGGAGACAGCATTACAGGGAGAGAAGCTTCTAGCAGAACTAATTGCTAAGACCCAGGTACGTTAAGACTTAATCTGAAAATTGTAAAGCCCATGCCTTCCAGATTCTGTGTGTATTGTCTTCTGTTTTCTCTGATAGCTTTTAGGACCTTTCTCTGTTACTTGTGTTTTGAGCTCCTGTGATGAGTTACTTTGATCTGAGTCTTTTTTTACTCATTATCCTGCACACTCGGTTTAAGCTTTTAGTGTAGAGATGCATGTTCTCTAATTCTTACAAATTTTCTTGAATTATTTATTTGACAACTTCTTGTCTCCAGAAATCCTTCAGGCAGATGTTGGATTTCCTGTACTGATCTGCCAAATTTGGGGACTTATTTGTGTGTCTTTAATTTTGCATTTTTAAGACATTTTCCTGTGTATTCAGGTTTTCTTCATACTATCTTTCAAGGGTTTGATCGATTTCTGAAAAATTTTGGCCACTGTATTTTTTAATTTCTAAGAGCACTTTCTTGTTGACTGACTTTTTCTTTTTCGTAGCTTCCTGTTCTTGCTTTGCAGATATGATGCCTTCTCTAACTCTTTTGGTATGTGGATTGTAGTTTTCTACTCGAAACTTGCTTCTTTTCCTTTTGTTTTCCCTGTTTCTTCTCTTTATTTTTCTATTCGTTCTAATTTATGTCTTTTAGGCTAGAGGCTTTTCTCAAAGATCTGGGTATTCCCACTGTCTTTTGCACTTAAGAATGAGGCACTAAGAACCTGATGGGTTGAGGTGACATTTCTGGCTGCTGGTTTTCCATTAGCCCAGTGGGAAAAGACAACTAACACATCCACTTCTCAGTGCTGCCTTCAGTTTTCCTGATGTCAACAAAGAATGGACCTTTGGGATTTAATTTCTCCAGAGAATTAATTTCCTGGCTGTGGGTGGGGAATAATCCAAAGCTCTTCTACAGATTTTCAGCCAATGTCCACTTTTTTAGTGACTGGACAGAATTGTAAACTAGGTGAGTTATAGAACAGTTAGTGATCTTATCTTTGCAACACAAGTCCATGCAAAGACATTATTTAAAACAGCTCGTTTATAGTCTTATCATGGAATAGAGGGGTCTGTAAAGCTGTTTAGATAGTTTGTCTTGCATATCATGGTTTTATACAATCCATCTGTTTTGCAAACCATAGCTTAGGTTACCTTAAAATTATGTAACTCTTTCATTCCTCAATAGCAAGTATTATTAGGTCAAGTCTCATGTTCCTAAAAGCAGTGTAGAAAATCAGTTAAATTTTAAAGATTTTTATTAGAATGCTTGTGTTCAAATTCGGGAAAGCCACGTAGAGGTGTTTGACCTTGATCAGATTACTTGAACTCCCTGAGTCACAGTTTCTTTATTGGCAAACAGAAAAAAAATAATTGAACGAATATCAGAAATTCGCTGTGTGGGTCAAATGAGATCAAACTTTATAAAGGACTCTGATGGTGCCTGTAATGTAGTAAAACTCATGAAATGTTAGTATTATCATTATGCCATCATCATCATCATCCTTGCTGTTTTGTGGTATATGGAAGGTATGAGTAGAATAGAACCAGTGGTATGAGAGCCTGATATAACAGGATGAAGGCAATACCCTGACACCAGAAGGACAGCCCCCAGGATCTCCCCTTGTGCTTTCTCAGGAGCCTGGGTGGACGTGAGGCTGCTGAATGGCACGGGGAGGTGCTCGGGCCGCGTGGAAGTTCTCATCAAGGGCACCTGGGGGACTGTGTGTGACGACCTCTGGGACCTGGCTGAGGCTGCCGTTGTGTGCCGCCAGCTGCAGTGTGGTCAGGCGGTGGCAGCCCCCACAGGGGCCCACTTTGGGACAGGCTCTGGAAGGATCCTGCTGGACGACGTGCAGTGTGTGGGCAGCGAGAGCCACCTGGGGCAGTGTGTGCACGGGGGCTGGGCCAGGCACAACTGCGGGCACCTGGAGGATGCTGGCGTCATCTGTGCAGGTGAGGGGCTGGCTGTCAGTCTTCCCTGGCGGTGTTACAGACAGCTTGCTACATGAGAGTGTATAGATAGTGGATGTTCCCTCTTGACTGAGATCTTCAATCTCTTCTTCAGTGATAGGACTAACTTTCCCTTGTTAACCAAATGAAAACACTCAAGGATATTTTCTACTGAGCTTGACTAAGAGCCAAGGGCCGCCTCCTGTCTTCTTTCCAGGTCATCTTTTGAGGTGTCTAGCTGACCTCCCTGAGGAAAGCTGTGTGCTCTGCACCTGCCTCTGCAGAGTCTTCCCCACCTGCAGGGCCAAACTGCAGGGACCAGCACTGCACAGCTTCTTACCAACAAAGAGCAGGATCCGAACTCACCAAGTCATGCAACCCCCTGGGAAAGGAACCTCTGCACATCAGGAAATAGAATAAAACTCCCCCAGAATGTATCACTCTCCATCTGCGTTAGGGCTAGTTTCATTTCCATGCTCTTTACTGCATATGTGGGTTGAAATGTAGAGAAGAATGATTGATGTCACTCATCAATGGCATCTCTAGCCCCTGACTTGTCAGCCCCAAACAGAGAAACCGCACCATCAACACACACTGAGCCTCATTAGTCAAGTTAAGAAAATGATTCAAGACATTTGATATTTACAAATTGCCTCATACACATGGTTTAATTTGATCTTCACAATATCCAATGAAGTTGCCACCACAGAGACTGTCCCCATTTCTCAAATGGCAAAACTGAGGCTCAGCAAAGCAAAGGGGCTTTATTTATTTTTCTTACATGTTGCCTGTTGCACTTCTTTAGAAAACATATTGATTGGGTCCACCTACGGGCCAGGCCGTGTGCTAGGCACTGGCATTATGGAAGTGAACCTGGCTGACCCCATCTGCGTGCTTGTGGAGCAGCCAGAACATTCAGACAACAAACACAGAAATAAGTACATACAGTAATTACAAAATGGAATGAGTGCAGACACATTCGAGGAAGTAATGAAAATACATAAAACAGAGCAGAAGACAATTCATATTTGCAAAACGTAGGACGAAAAGAAAGGTGGCAATAAAGCCCAAGGTCCCGTCTAAATTCTTGTCATAAAGTCCTGTACATGTGGCCATAAATGAGGCTCTGAGCTTCCCGGGTGCCAAAGGCAAGAGAGAAACACAATCAGTGACAAGATGGGGCATCCATAAGAAGGAGGACAGCTCAGTGTCCCGAGAGACAGCAGCTTCTCTGGTCCTAAAGCTGGGCAGCATGCCGGGGAGGCGTCGAGGCAGGACCACCACTGATGGCTCAGAATGTCTCCCACGACTATTCCTGCCCCCTTCTTTGGGGTCTCCTGCAGGCCTCATTACACCTGCCATGGCACCCTCACTGGATCACAGTGGTTTATACCCATGGAAGACAGGAGCGGGGCCCCCAAAGCACACCTCAGGAGTTCTCGGCTCCAGGGTGCCCAGGAATCTCTGCAGGTACTTGTTAAGGTACAGAAGAGGCCTGGCCTCACTTTACACCCACCTCTGAATCTAAGTATCTGAGGGAGAAGCCCCCAAATCTGCATTTTTAACAAGCCCCTCAAATCATGGGATGCTGGGGCCGCTGGTCAGCTGGCCATACTTTAGGGTACCCTGACTGACAGCCCTGCCTCTCATGTTCTCTCTTTCTCTCCACCTTGCTGAAACCATCTTCCAACTCCTGATAGGCACAGATTCTTCAGAAATTCTACCAGTAGATAAGATAAACTATACATTTTTAAGATCTGCATGGGCCAATTTGCGTGGGATAAATATAGAAGGATCTCTGCAAAATCACCACTTATGTATCATATTTAAGTTAGATAATTCCTGAATACACATCACGAACAATTTATATTCCATTCATTTGTGTATATGAGGGTTCATGGAAAGATGCATACTATCTTTTAAATCTGTTTTTCCATGAACTGTTTGAAGTCCCCTTACACAGTATGTACATCTGTGTTTATATGAATAAAAGTATAGAAAAGTCAGGAATGGGGCACACCACACTGGGCGTAGAGTTATCTCTGGGTGATAGACTTGTGGGAGATTATTGTTTGCTTTGCTTTCTGTTTGTTTTATCCAATTTTTTCTTTTTTTAAATTTTTATTTATTTATTTATTTATTTATTTATTTATTTATTTATTTATTTATTTATTTATTTTTTATTTATCCAATTTTTTCATAAGGAACATGTATCACTTTATAACCAAAAAATAATTGAGTGATCAACCCCCAAAAGTAAGAGTTAAGAAGAAATAGTTGCCTTCTGTACTTGCCAGGATGTGGCCTCCTCGGGTCTCAGGAGCAGTTAGTGACAGAGAAAGGCCAGAGGCCAGGATCCCACTTTGCCCGTGATATCACTTTGTCTTGAAGGCAGGGCAAGGCAGCACCTCACGAGCTCACAAGGTGGCGCTCTCCCCCATCCTGACCCTCTTTCCCGTAGATGGAGGGAAGCCCTTCATGCCCTCAGCCTGGCCTGCGACTCCACAGACCACACACCTGTCCACAGGTAGGACGCCCTCCGTGTGCCCTTGTGCTCCAGGAGTCCACCTTCCTGTCCTGTGGGCGCCTCTGCTACCCACTGTCCTGGGTCCCGCATGTATGTCCTCACCCAAATCAACTTCACTGTTGGTCCTCAGAGTCAAGGATTGGGGGAAGTTTCTGGTGTATCTGAGAAAAATCTGCTGCACAGTCCTGACCACAAACTCGCTCCTTTAAATGCCATTCAGGGAGCAGCCCCTGGAAAGTCTGGTGAGAAGAGAGTGACCTCTGATGACCCAGGCCAGCATCTTGAGTCCCCAAAGGAAGGTAGCTGGGGGACTCTCTGAAGCAATCTGCTGTTCCAGGGAAAAGATGCTAACCCACAAGGAGCGTTCGAGCAGCCAAGAGGCAGCCAGGCAGGCAGAAGGGCCAGGAAGGGGGTCCCACCGCTCTGGAGTACTCTCCCAAGGCTCATTTGAGCTGCTGTGTGGTGACTCAGGGGCTTGGGAGGCCACCCTGGGTGCCAGTGGCCAGAGTGTTACTTCTCCACAGCAGCCTTCGTTCAGCACACTGGGGTCACAGGCACCTTGGAACCAGCTAGAAAGGGTGTGATGTGAGTCTGTGTGGTTCGCACAAATTCTCTCTCTTCACCCTGGCAGGTGCTGAATCGTCTACCCACCAGCCAGAAGGTAGGACAAAGTACACGTGTTGAACCATTAAGTGTGTTCCTTCTCAATCCCCTCTAGTGGGGCACAGGAGATGACAGGGAGGGGGAATGTCAACAGAGGGCCTCGTGATGCCAACGCCGGGCTGTGGGACAGCAGTCTCCTAGTCCCTGGCAGGTGCACTGACTGCCACATCTTCCTTGGGCAAGTCAGCTAAGGTCACTGCACCTCAGTGTTCTCACCTGTCAAATGGGACTAGAAATGTGCTTTTCTCCACCTCCCTCATGGTGCGGTAAGGAACAAGGGGGGGAACGGAAGTGAAAGAGACTCTACATTTGCAAAGACAGCAGAAGAAAAATGGGGTCCTTGTAACAAAGTCACTCCTGCATCCAACACCACTTCCTCTTGCTGTCACTGGTCCTGAGTGGTTCCACCCAGAGTGACCCAGGTCCCTGCTCCACTCCCTAATCTTTGAGTCAGACACACTGAATGCACCTGGGGCTGTGAGGAAGGGGGATGGACACTGAATCCTTTTCTGTTCAATAATGTCTTTCAAAGTGTCCCCTGCAGTCCTGATCATGAAACTCCCAGTCACTCCCTCCAGCAAAATCACATAACTCCCAGCAAGACTCTGCCAGGGCTGCTGGGTCAGGGCAAAGTGCACAGCGTGATACACAGGGTTGGAAGGTGGGCTGTCTGCATATCAACCTCAGGTCTTTTCTCAGCACCAGTCGTCTGGGCCAACCCCACTTTTCTGTTTGACTGTCTGCCTTGAGACAGCCCCAGTGCCCTGTGCCTCCATCAGCAGAGAAAACCCAGGCACATCTCCACACTAGCCCTGACTCCTGGAATATTGCTCCAGAAGATCTAGGGATGAGGGCTATGTGGCCCTCTTATTTTCCCAGGGCTCAGAAAACATTTTCCTGATTTTAATGAATTTAGCCTCTTCTGTGTCCTCTCTAACTCTGATTGGGGAGTTATTTCTAACACGGCATATCTCCTGTGGCTCTTCATATGATTGGAGCTTCGCCTGGGCAGTGCCACTCGCAGTGCTCCATCTGGCGGTGTCTGTAATCTAGTGAGGAAGGCAGGTGCATTCTCGGCACCACCATCGAGGCAGGTGGTGGTAAGCGCCATGTAAGGTACACTGAAACCACAAAGCGGCGAGGAAAGAGGGATTCCAGGAAGGGTTCATGAAGGTGACAGGGGAAAGAGGGTTAGGGGATGGTAGAATTTTAGTCTGTGGTCCTGGGGATAGCGAGAGCTTGTAGAAGATTAAAGAAAGACAATGCTCAAAGGAATATGCTCCTTTCCAACCAGGAGTCCTGCAAGTACAGTCACACGCCACACGACCATGTTTCGGTCCACCACAGACCACATATCTGATGGTGGCTAAACTGTACAGCTTAGGTGTGTAGTAGGCTATACCATCTAGATTTATGGAGTAACATGCTATGATGTTCACGCAATGACAAAATCTCCTACAAAGCCTTTCTCAGAATGCATCCCCATCGCTAAGCGATGCATGACCATGCCTTATGGGTGTGTTTGAGGGGCACCCCGTCTCGTCACACTCCTGGGAGACCCCCAGCTCACTGTTGACTCTGTGTCTTCCTACAGAAGGGAAGGACAGGGGTAATCTAGGATTTGACTTTGCTGCAGGGAGAAACCCTTAGCAGTCTTATCTATCTCACATTTCACAGCTCTTAGGGGACAGATGAGCACGGGGAGAGCCCCTGAGCCTTAGGCCTTGAGTTCTTACTCCACAGCTATCATCGGTCTCACTGCACTGCGATCCCTGCCACGCTTTCTGACTTTCCCAAAGAATAACGAGTGGCCCATGTTCTCTGAACACTGATCGTGCACATGCCATGCCGTGCTAGCATTTTACCTGCATGACCTCACTTAATCCTCAGAGCAGCTCCATTAAATGAGCATCATTGCGATCACCATGTTTACAGATGAGACACCAGACAGGTCAAGGGACTTGCCCAGGACCACACAGTAGAGAAGCAAGGGGTCTGGGATGCAAATCCAGGCAATCTGACTCCAGAGCCTAAAGAGTCACCTCCAGGCTGAACTGATTACTGTGGGAGAAAAAAGTGCAGTAAATTTCACTCCAGTGGGCAGTTACTGTCACTACAGACAGGCAGCCCAGCCACCTTGGATAGCCTCAGGTAAAAAGCCATTTTACATCTGCTAAAATTCCACCATCAGTTGCCAGATGTGTCTCCGCAGGAGCTGGGTGGAGGTGAGGCTGCTGTGTGGCACGGGCAGGTGCTCAGGCCACGTGGAGATTCTGGTCCAGGGTACGTGGGGAACCATGTGTGATGACCTCTGGCACCTAGCCGAGGCCACTGTTGTGTGCCGCCAGCTCCAGAATGGCCAGGCGGTGGCAGCCCCCACAGGGGCCCACTTCAGGGCAGGCTCTGGGAAGATCCTGCAGGGTGATGTGCAGTGTGTGGGCAGCGAGAGCCACCTGGGGCAGTGTGTGCACGGGGGCCGGGCAGGGCACAAACGTGGGCACTTGGACGACACCAGTGTTGTCTGTGCAGGTGAGGGGCTGGCTGTCAACCTTCACTTGGAAGGCTCCTCCTAGTCCCCTCTGTCCTCTCTCCTACAACACACACACACACACACACACACACACACGCACACACACACACACACACACACAGCTCAGTCCGGGAATGTAGTGGGTCCAGCAGGTAACTGGAGATGCCTATGTTCAAAGTTACGCATCAGCCTAATTATCCCCTTGACTGCAGAGATTGCTAAGTATGGCTCACAGGCTGGATCCAGGCTCAGAAGTGAGCAGTTTGAAAATTCAGGCTAAACTTGATTCTAAAAAACAGAATACTTGTCATAAAATTCCAAATTCTTACATTTTGTTAAAATAATAATAATAAAGCAGCTCAGGCACAAAAACAAAAAATTCTTCTATTACATGAATGATTGAATCTGAGAAAGAGCTGCCCTTTGGACACGGAACAGCTCTCCAGTTCACACAGTCCCCACCATGTTCAAATCCCATGTTTATCTTACCTGCATGGTTCTCAGAAACTATTGCATTTGTAACCTCTGGGTGATGAGCCAAATTTGTCAGCTGGTGCTCAAGGCCTTCCACATCCTGGGCCTACTGACCTTCCCAAACTTATCTGTCCCTCTGGTTGGCTTTCTGCCCAACAGTACTCCCCAGCCTTTCCTGATTCTGCCCCGCTTGCGGCTGGGATAGCGTCCCTGTAAGTGACAAGCACTGCAGGTTGGCCCATCCTGAGCCACATGTCCTGCATGGGGCTTGGGCCTTCCTCAACACCTAAGGGCCCCTGGGGAAGCACCGACTCTCCTGGGACATTCCACATTTGCTGCCTGGTCTCGTGTCTCAAGTCCCCACAAATGCCAAGATCCTCAAGTGCAGAGTCTCTGCCTCTTTATACTTTCTGCTTCCCACAGCACCCTAAACGTAGGAAGTTCTCAGTAAACATTCACCAATTAAGACATGATATTATTTACAATCTCTGTTCACACTGATAGGTACTGATTCCACAGCTGCTCTGCCTACAGGTAAGACCACGTGTTGCATTTGACATTATGTACTAAATTTGGCATAATGTAAAAAAGATCATGAAATTTAGAGTCAGATCTTCCTTTGATTGGCACAATGTAAAAAACATGGCATAATATAAAAAAGATCATGAGCTTTAGAGTCAGATCTCCCTTTGATTCCCAGCTTCATTCATTCTCTCATTCATTCATTCCACAGGTACTGACTGAGTGTCCACCATGTGCCAAACTCTATACCAAGCACTGGGGGCGGATACAGTGGTAGTCAAAACTCCCTCAGTCTCTTCTTTCATGTTATACCCTAACAGGAGAGACAGACGTGACATGTGATCACCCTCAGTTATGTCATCTCTTGATCCCATTTTTTTATTAAAGTAGGAATAATACAGAAAATTCACTAGGCAGAGTCCTCAGAATCTAATCACCTCTTCAAGGCCCCACTTTTCAATGACCATAATAGGATTTCCCACCCTCTTAACAGTCACAGTGGGGATCAAGCTTCTAATACATAAAACTTGGGGGACAAAATCCATATCACATGCCAACCTAAGGGAGGCAGTGGGGGGATGGAAAGGGCCCTGAGCTGCAGGAATCTGAACCAGGCTGGCCTCTCACCAAGTGAAAGACCTCGGCCCTCAGTTTCCTCATCATTACAACAGCCTCATTGGATTCCATGCTCCCTAAAATTCTATGCCTTTGACATTCTGTGACTACCAAGGAGACAATAAGCAGCCACATGAACTGGCTGAATAATGTATGTGCCACAGTGGAAAGCAAGAGGTTGTCAACGAAAACCAGAGACATGGGTCTTGCAGTAGAAATTGAGGGCCAAATCCCACCCTAACATTTTATTATGAAAATTTTCAAATATACAGCAAAGTTTGAAGAATTTAATAATAAACTCCTACCTAGATTCTCTGATGAATTTATAAATCCATCTGTCATCCTCTATTCATGCATGAATTCATCTTATTATTTTATTAAAGTTTGGTTGATATACCATAAAATTTACCCATTTTAAGGCCCAGTTTGGTGGATTTTGGTAATTGTACACAGTTGTGTAACCACCTCTACTGTCAAGACAGAACAGTTCCCTTGCCCTGCAAGGTGTCCTCGAGCCATTTCAAAGCTGATCCCCTCCTTCCTGTCCCCTCGCTCCCACCACCACTGTAAGTACACTATGTGACCTTCCTTTCTTCGTCCAGGTGAGGTCATGACAATAGCACACATCAGGAGAAGGAAACAGAGAGATGGTGGCCAGCTGATGGCCTCTCACACCGCGGGCACTTGGGTCCAGCCACCCATGAGCTTTGCTTTTGCTAATAGCCACGTGACATGTTAGTTTATCCACAGGCACCAATGCCTTGTTCTGCCCTAAATGGAGACCTTGGGGATATGAGATCACTGGCCTTAGAATGCAGTTTCATCATTATTCCTGCAAATCCTGTGGGGAGGCAGATGCCCCCTGAAGCAACTGTGCATCTTCTTTAGTGTTGTGACCATTCCCTGATGATAGTCATTCCTTTTTACCCATCACTAGCCCATGAGATCCTACTTCCCACATCGCCGGTGATATCAGCAGTTCAGCACCTACCTTCTTCTGCACCACCAGGTAGGGCTGTGTCTTTTTGTATTATGGCTTCAGAATGACTTTGTCCATTCGACAATGAATGAGTGAATGTACATGTGTCCTTGGAGATATACAGAGCAATGAACCAAGCAGACCCTCATGGAGGTGAAGTCCACTAGGACGTTACAACAGACTGGTGAATGCTGTGAGGTGGGGAACGCAGGTGCCATGGCACCCAGAAGAGCGTCTCCATCCAAACCTGAGGGGGCAGGGCGGGAGGAAGCAACATATAATCTAGGACCTGAAGGGTGAGGGGGCAATGGAATTGTGCCAAGCAGAGGAGATATTGGGTAGTTAGATTCCCTATGGGCTGCAGGATGGGCGACATTAATATACTTTCCAAATTAGAACCTAAGGCTGGCCAATAACCATGGAATTAGCGAACAGTGAGGTACCTGAGACCCTCTAAGATGGTGTTTTGCTGTGATCAGGAATGAGTAATATTTGGGGATATTCAACCTTGAGTTCGGTCTTGGGTTTTCACAAATTAGGTCCAATCTGAGGCCAGATGAGGCAAGAGTAAAATACTGGACCAGCTGATTCCCTTAATCTAGCTGTACAGCCAAGAGATTCAGGGGGGAACCACTGTCACTGCCCAGGGTCTGAGAGCATCCCTGGTGGAATAGTGCCCAGCAGGTGCCACAGCTCCTGGCCACTGGCCATCACCTTGGGAATATAGCAATCACCAAAAGCGCCACTGTTGGCTCTTTTCAGTCACCTGAATCCACACTCCACATCTTTCTTTTCTTTATTTGCTTAATAACTTTTTATCTTACATGCCTTCTATGTGTTGAGCACTGAACCAGTTCCCACGACGGACATGTAGATGACCTGGACACACTCCCAGTTCTCAGGGAGCTTGTCGTTTAGTAGGGAGACAAGTCTTAAACACAGAAAGCTATAATGTAGGGAGAAAGTGGTCTTTACAAGAGAAGCCCCGCCATAGTCTGCCTGCACCCTCAGACCATGACTCATGCTATTCCGTGCTCCGGGGGAAAGCTCTCTGCATGCCCTTCTGCGGCAGCTGAGACCACACCCCATTGTAGTGGTCCCTTCACACAGCCTCTCACCCCAAGCTGGTGAGCTCCCAAACCATCTCTGCGTCTCTCCCCTCCTACTGACCAAGAACAAGGCCCTGAGGAGTCCTCTCCTGAGTGCTTTTGCATTCTTTAGCTTCATGACAGCTTATGAAGTAATTATTGTCATTCTCAAGGCCACACAGGTAGCCAGGGACATTGGGCTTCAGGTCCAGTCTCCCTGACCCGACATCCACTGCTCTTTCCACCCTTGCTCCCTGCCTCTTGGGCCACCTGCTGGGGAGATGGGACCTGTACAGTGCTGGTTCTACGCCAACAGTGTAACCAGGCCCGGGAGCACCAGAACAAAGGCCTCAGAAAAGAAGACAGTGTCCCAGTCTGGGTGATCACAAAAGCCTGATGGAATGGAGGCACTTGGGCTGCAATTTGAAGGATGGAAGGATTTCAGTGAGCAGGACTGGGAGTCGGTGTACTTTAGGCAAAGTGAATGGGATAAATAAAGGGAAATAAATACGAGCATTTATTAATGAGTTAGCATTTGGTTTCATGGTGCAAATATCAACTCAAGTAAGATTAATTGAAGGGAGTCTATGGCCAAGACATAAGAGGATCTTAACCAACCCAGTTAAAGGAGTACAAATAAGAAAGGAACTGAGCCACTCTCTCACACTCTGGATCTCCCTTCTTCCTCTTTCTCCCCTCTGATGAGTCTGTTCCGAGCAGCTTCTCTATTCATTTGTCCACCCAGATATGATTTATCAAGGCTGCCCCAAATGGCAGTGTCAGACCCTGAGTCTTCCATCTCTGTTCCCAATTCCAAATATCCAGCAGAGAGAATCTGGGCCAATCCAGCACATGGACTGGTTCCCCTGGAGCCAGATGTCCGGACACTCCAGTCCAGACAACCTGACCAGGCAGACTCAATCATGGGGTGCATGGCTTTGGCCCCATGCCTTTTCTGGCTAAGGGTGGGGCAGGATATCAAAAAAGGGGGGTAGTGGTAAAGAAGAAGTGTATAAGTTATCCGTTGCCATGTAAAACCACCGCCAAACATAGTGGCTTAAAACAACCACCGTTTACAATTTCTCAGGAGTCTGCAGGTCAGCTGGGCAGCTCTGCTGGTCTGGGATGGGCTCGGCTGATCTTGGCTGGGTTTGCTCACGCATCTGTGGTTAGCCGGCACATCAGTTGAAGACCGCCTGGCCTAGGATGGCCTCCCTCACGTGTCTGGCTCTTCTGTAGCTGTCATCTGAGGTGACAGAGGTGACAAAGCCACGTGTCTTTCATCACCCAGCAGGCTAGCTCAAGCTTGTTCCCATGATGCTCTCAGAGTCCCCAGTGAGTGAGTGGAAGCCTGGCAGGCCTGGCAGGCTCAGCTCTGTGGGAAGTCATTACTTCTGCTGTATTCTGTGAGCCAAAGCAAGCTGAAGGCCGCCTCCCTCAATCAAGGAGTGTGAAAATAAGCTCTGCTTCTCGACGGGAGGGGCTGCGATTTCATTCATATTGTAAAGAGCATGGATATAGGGAAGAGAAGGACCGTGGCCATTTTTGTGAACAATCTACCACAGGCAATCTGTCTTAAAATAGGGTGTGGATAAGTAAGACATTATAACCTTCTTAGAGCAGACACTTCTGGGGAATGGCATGGGATTCCACATGGCAGCATAGGGATATGAATAGCAAATTCGTGGAAGATAAGGACAGAGAGCTGGGTCAGGTGGACGATAGTCCAGTCAGCAGTGGGCAGAGGAAGGAGCTACCACCCCCTGACTCCCCCATCCTTTCCCAGCAGGCTGGGCCCCTGTGCGGCTGGCAGGCAGCCACGGGAGCTGCGCAGGCCGTGTGGAACTTTTCTACCAGGGAGTCTGGGGAACCGTGTGCGATGACCTCTGGGACCTTCCACAAGCAAACATCGTCTGCAGGCAGCTGGGCTGTGGCTGGGCCATCTCAGCCCCGGGTGAGGCCCACTTTGGGGAAGGTTCTGGGAAGATTCTCCTTGACAACGTGCACTGCAGGGGAGATGAACAGCACCTTGAGGAGTGCTCCCATGTTGGCTGGTTGTCCCACAACTGTGGTCATGGGGAAGATGCTGGCGTGATCTGTTCAGGTAAACCCCTGCCTCCCTCCCAGGCAGAGCCCGGCTTTGGCTCCTTCCAAGAGAATACTTTTCAAATGACAGCGCAAAAGAAACTATGGGAAATGAACCAGTATGTTATTCACTCACAGCAGATGTCTTCATCTCTTACACTTATGTAGGTGCTGAATACTCACCGATCACACCACCAGGTACGGAAGGCGATGCTTATGCATGCAGTTTATCAAAACCTTGGGGAAGAAGTTCTGCTGGGAATTGAATGTGTCTTATTCTCCAAGCCAGTGGAGTGACTGAGAGATGCAGAATCACCTGACTGTCCAGTGGGAGAGATGGACAGTGCCCTGAAATCGTCCAGTCCAGCCTCACTTTCTATTTCTCTGCTGTGCATTTTACACATGGGAAGCAGACTCTTGATTTCTCAGGCTTCTGGGCAGCTCTGCTGGTTTGTCAGTTCTGAGGGTTGTAGAGGGGATGGCAGTGAGATACGGCTGTGTAGGAGGTGGTTAAGATTTGATGATGAAGGGCACTTCCCGCCCAGATGGCCCATGGGCCAGATTCGGGCAAAGTCAAGGTGAGCCAATTCCATTTCTACTCCCTCCTCACCTTTGCCTTGTTCCTGGTGCAGCCCTGGCCCCACAGAGCGTCCCCTGAGTTGGCTTCCCATGTGCTCCCAGCCCCAACACCAGGAGTTCTCCATGCCAGTGCTCTCTCCCCCTCATCAGACCTCCAGGGGCCTTGATGCCCGGCTCTGAGCTGGCTCTCGGTCAGAGAATGAGTTATGAATAGAGCTGAGCTGACCAGGTCAGGTGAAGCTTCATTCACATCCCTTCCTGGGTTGTCCAGTGTAGCAGGTAGGAATGGGTTGATCCAGGGAGAGAACCTCCAGTGAGCAGTGCTGAGCTGAGTATCGCTGGTGGGAGAGATTGGGGGGGCATGGGGGGGGGGGATTCACAGCATCTTCAGGTCCTGACTCAGCATCTTGGAGCAGCACCAGGTCAGAGGAATCAATGAATCGGTGCTTCCTCTTGCGCTTACATCACGACCTCCTAACTCCCAGCCCTTGAATCACTGGAAGAGGCTTCAGAAGCCAAAATTTCCCTCCTTTAGTTTTCTTAAGCCCTGACATTTAAAAATATCTTATTTACATGTCCAGCAACAAAAAAATGCATCAAAGTCTGGGAATGATCTAGATCAGTGCCTCTTTTCTCCTGCATGTTAAAACCCCCTCCATGCTCTGGCCTCTCCCCTAGAGACTCTGATTCAGTGCTCCTGGGAGGAGCCCGGACTGTGTGTTCATTACAAGCTCCTCGGGGTCCTCATGTGCAGATAGGGGAGCGGATCTCAGTGCCAGCCGGTGGCCCATGAGTCTTTTGTGTGTTTGACAGGTCGCCCATTGGCTGCCATGGCAGGGACAGTGGCTGCAGGTGAGACTTTTATGTCCTTGTCTGTCCTGGTCCTCATCTTCTAGCTCAAGCCCTGAAGTGATTCTTCAAGGAAATTGTGCCAAAATACTACTGCCCTGTCTAGGTTACCCCTCTGAACCTGTGTTCTGGGTGAAGAGCCCAATGTGAAGGCCAATGAATTTATGGTTCCAATTCCATTTCTATTTAGTCAGAGAAAGAAGTCCAAATAGTCAAGTGACTCCAGCTTTCTTGGTCTCCCAGCACGGACACCATAAGTGAAGGGCAGGCATGTGGCCAAGAGTATAGCAGTGTTGCCAGGGTGGTACCCCAGGCCGTGATTTTAGAGGGCTCCCTCCATGGTGAGCACGTTTGTCTTTTCCGCCTTCTCCTTCTCTGACAATCTCCATCCACCTTCTTTCATCCTTCCATTTTCATCTCCCATTTTTTCCCTCTGTTCTTACCTATGCTTGGGCTTCCAGAAGCTCCACTGAACTTTTCTTACCACTAGTTGAAGATAAAGAGCTAAAATAACATGATGCCTTTGTGCCTGGCTGGTCCTTCTAGAGAAGAGCCACAGCTAGACAACCAGGGCCAGTTGAGGTTGGGTCTAGTTCCCACACAGGTAATCTGATGGGGGGAAGTCAGCTGTTTCTGTCTCCACTGGCATAACCTTTAGTTTTGGACGGAATGCTGGGCAGGTGGACATACAGAAAGGCAGAACAGGCAGACAAGCAGACGGAAACACAAATGGAGGTGGGTGGGTGGGTGGACACAAAACGTTACCAGTAGTAGGAGTATCAGAGGGGTGATGACTCAGGGAAACTTCTTTCTACTTAATAGTGGATTTTTAAGAATGTAATTTTAATAAATTACAACTGGTGGTGGGTGGGACACTGTCATCTTTATCCACACAGAGCCTCCATGCTGATTCAGCCTTAACTGGGAAAATTGCAGCTGTGCTTTACTCGTTGCTGCTGGTGATGTGACAAAAATCAGAGCTACAGAACCCACAACCAGGGAGTAACCAGAGGGAAAGGTTCTGGCTGCTGGTAGATAATAGCTCTTCCCAGCAAGTCCACGTCAGTGGTAGAAGTCTCAAAAGAGATGAGACATATTTCAAAATTCAGACAAGTTCATGCCCTAAATTCCCAAGTTTGCAAGACTTTTCAGACTAGTTTATACCTCTGATACGTCCTAAGACTTATTCACAAAGTAATGACCAATGACACCTCTTTTGGAAAAAAAGTGAAAAGTAAAATAAAAAGAAAAAAGTGTGAATTACAAAATCAGTAAACTGGACAATGAAAAAAACTGAAATTCTAAAATATATTTCTGCATTTAGGAAAATCTCAGTGCGGCAGCATCATTACTAACTCATCTGGAGCGATTAGGAATCCCCCGCGAAATGAAATGCACGACAACATAACCTGTGTGTGGGAAATCAAGGCGAACGCATCCGATCATATACTGCTGGCTTTTCCATACCTTAAGTAAGTCCTAAGTATGTTACTTAAGTATGCTATGCAGTTTTTTCGGAACTTTTTATTTTATTTTATTTTTAATTAACAAATAATAATTGTATGTATTCATGGGGTCTAATGTGTGTTATATGTACACACTGTGGAATGATTAAATCAGGCTAATGAACATATCCATCACCTCACATTCTTGCCATTTCTTTGTGGTGAGAACACTTAAATTCTACTTTTTTAGCAATTTTGAAATATACAATAGATTATTATTATTGACTGTAGTCAATGGATGTTGTACGATAGATCTCCTGAACTTATTCCTCCTAATTAAAACTTTGTGCCCTTTGACCAACATCTCGCCATCCGCCCCTGCCCCCCAGCCTCTGGTACCCACCGTTCTACTCCCTACCTCTATGAGTCTGGTTTTTCAGATTCCACCTACAAGAAGGATCGTGCAGTATTTGTCTTTCTGGGTCTGGATTATTTGATGTAGCGTAATGTCCTCTAGATTCATCCACGTTGTCACAAACAACAGAATTTCCTTCATTTCTAAGGCTGAATAGTATTCCGTTGTGTATATACCACATTTTCTTTATTCTTCATTCACTGGTGGGCACTTAAGTTGTTTCCACAGGGTGGCTATTGTGAATAATAGTGGAATGAACATGGAGTGCAGACATCTCTTCATACTGATTTTAATTTGGGTATGTACCCAGAAGTGGGATTGCTGGATCATATGGTAATTCCATTTTTAGTTTTCTGAGGAGCCTCCATGCTGTTTTCCAAAATGGCTTTGCTAACTTACACTCCCACCCACAGTGCGCAAGAGTTCCCTTTTCTCCACATCCTCACCAGCACGTGTCATCTCTCATCTTTTTGATAATAGCCACTCTAACAGGTATGCAGTGATATCACATTGTGGTTTTCATTTGCATTTCCCTAATGATTAGTGATGTTGAGAATTTTTTTCATATACCTGTTGGCCATTTGTATGTCTTCTTTTGAGAAATGTCTGTTCGTGTCCTTTGCCCATTTTTAATAAGGTTGTTTTCTTTTTATTGAGTAGTTTGAATTCCTTATGCATTTTGGATATTAGCCCCTAATCTGATGTATGATTTGCAAATATTTTCTCTCATTCTGTGGGTTGTCTCAAGTTGATGGGGCTCTGTATTCCTGAACCTCCTACACCACAGAAAACAAGGAGGTGGACATAACAACAGGCATGCTAGGTGCAGTCTGAACAGGAGATCAGGCATTTGCCACAGATCTTCTTTCCAGCTAGTGTTGAGAGAGTGGGAGATAAGTCTCTGCTCTTAGCTTCACCCTGAGGATAGAAGGAACTGAAACACACATCTAACACCCCAACTTTCCAGCTGCTCCCACAAGGTCTGGCTTCTACCTTACCTGTTGCAGGGTACTGACAAAACTTGGCACATCCTAACCTCCGGCAGCCACCCAAAGCAGAGACAGCAGCTTGGACAAACACAAAGATGTGACAGTCACCTTAGACTATCTGGCCAGATGGATTGGTGAGATCCTTATCCTGTGCGAGGCCAGTCTGACAAGACTGGGAGAGGCTGTTGTCTTGTCTAATGCACAGAAACCAACACAGAGAAAGAAATGGAAGAAAGAGGGAAATTTGTTCCAAAAAGGAACAAGATAAATCTTCAGAAACCTAGACTATGTAGTTCAAAATTCCAAACATTTGTTCCTGTGATTGATTCTCATAAGTAAAAGAGTTCTTCATGCCTTTTTAGAATTTTTGTTTTTTGAAATGACTATAGAGACACAGGAAGTTACAAAAATAATACGAGTCCTGTGTACTCCTAAGTTTCTCTCAACAGTGGCATGTCATGTAACTGTAGAACAATATCAAAGCCAGGAAGTTGACATTGGTACAAACAACACTGTCAGCTAGACTACAGACCTTATTCAGTTTACACCATTTTTTACATGCATGTGTGTGTGTGTGTGTGTGTGTGTGTGTAGTTCTTTGCAATTTATCCCACGTGTAAATTCCTGTGTTCTAGATACAGAACTGTTCCATTACCACAAAGGAGCTACCCCTTTACACTTTATATTCACAAACCACCCATCTCCCTGTCCCCTGAAAACCACCAATCTGTTCTCCATTTGTAGTTTTGTCATTTTTGAGAATGTTATATAGGAAGAATCATACAGTGTGTGACCTTTTGAAACTGACTTTTTTCACTCAGCACCATGCCCTGGAGATCCATCCAGGTTGCTGTGTGTGTCAACAGTTTGTTGCTTTTTATTTTTATTATTTATTTATTTACTTATTTATTTTGTCTTTTTCGTGACCGGTAAGGGGATCGCAACCCTTGGCTTGGTGTTGTCCGCACCGCGCTCAGCCAGTGAGTGCACCGGCCATCCCTATATAGGATCCGAACCCGTGGCGGGAGCGTTGCTGTGCTCCCAGTGCCGCACTCTCCCGAGTGCGCCACGGGGTCAACCCTGCTTTTTAATTACTGATAAGTATCCCATCATATGCACGTACCAGGTTTGTTTAGCCATCCCCCCACTGAATGACATTTGGGCTGTTTTCAGTCCTTTGCTACAAGTAAAGCTTCTAAGACCATTCATACACACATTTTTGTGTGAACATAAGTTTTCATTTCTCTGAGATAAATGCCCAAGAGTGAAATCACTAGGTTGTATGGTAAGTAGTATATATTTAGCTTTTTAAGAAGATGCCAAACTACTTTCCAGAATGACTACCATTTTAAATTCCCACCGGAAACGTATGAGAGATCCAGTTTCTCCACATCCTAGCTAGTTAGCATTTAGTAGTATTTTTTTGTGTTAGCTATTTGTAATTTTCAGCCTACAAGTCCTGTACATGTGTTACTGACAGCCAGGCTCAGCTTACCCTCTCACATTAAACAAATGACTCGAAAGTCCAAAAGTTGGTGCAAAGATTGGAAGCTTTATTCAGATAACCGACAGCTGGGGGATGACCAGGCTGAAATCATACCCCCCTTTTGTTGCCTGTTCTGGGGTTTATAAAGGGGAAAAGGCGAGAAGGTAAGGTAAGGGTTTTGTCCTGCAGGAAAAGGAGGAGCCTGGTCACTGGGTTAGCAGAGCGTCTGAGTCAGATGTCAGGGTCCCATGAGGGACTGGGTGCTTTGGCATCGTGGAGTCGGCAGTTGGAGGACTGGTCAGCTTCACGTCCTTGATGTTATTTTGGGGTTGGAGTCCTTATCTCCTAGGGAAACTCAAAGACAATAACCTCAGTCAAACATCACTGGAACGTACGCGTACCTCTAACTAATGTGGATGCAATTTTCCTTTAAGCAAGAAGGTGAGTTAATAATCAGCTGGGCAGGGCCGCCCGGTGGCGCACTGCTACAGTGCGCCACTTGTGAGCGCGGCGGCGCTCCCGCCGAGGGTTCGGATCCCACATACAGACCGGTTCCCGCTCACTGGCTGAGCGAGGCGTGGGAGCAACACCGAGGGTTGCGATCCCGTTGCTGGTCCCGGTCCGGTACGGGGGCAACACTGAGGGTTGCGATCCATTGCCGGACACGGAAAAAGACAAAAAGGAAAAAAAAAAATCAGCTGGGGTGCTTTGCCTTCCTCTTGGATTTCCTCTGCAGTTGATTAGGGAGGTGTGGAAAATAAGAAAACTTCATTTCAGTCCCTAATTGTAGGTGCACAGCAACTAAAGTCAGTCATCGAAAGAGGGTGTAATGTGAGATAAGCAGAAATAAACTTTTGAGAAGGATCTTTTTGGGGCATGATTTCTTCCCCAGGCAGTTTCAGCCACACAGTCACTTTCTCCTTTCCTCTGCTAACCTCAAGGAATTGATGATTATCAGTTCCGGAATTAATGGCTAACTGAAATTTTCTGCTTTGTCCTAGTTACCCCAAAGGTGGCCATCTTCTGGCTAAGGTCCCTTTCACATGTTTTGTAGATTTATACTAAGGTATTTCTACCTTTTTTTTTTTTTTTTTTTTTTTAGTAATTGTAAGTGACACTGTGTTTTCAATTTTGGTTTCCACATTTTCATTGATTGACTGTAGAAATACAATTGATTTTTGTGTGCTTCCATGAATTTTCAATTAAAATAAAATTCACCATATGTGCTTTGGATAGGTTTGTATGCATGGCAGAGAGAGAAGGGGAGAGAGAGTATGTATTTGGTCTGCTGGTTAAAGATGCAGATTCCAGCGTACTCCAGTCCCAATAAATCAGGAAATTTTAGATTTTAATGTTGTGAATAATCAACACATTGATGTCATTTATAAATGATAAATTCATGATAAATTTCTTATGGATATTAACCCCCAAGTACAACTTAATTATTAGTCTTGAATTTTGCTTAATCAAAACATGGCTTGGAATGGAGGGTTGAGTTGTGGAAATGGTTTTCTGGTTCTAGCACTAGTGACATCTGGATAAAACGTCACAGTGAAGAACAACAGGTAACAAAATCAGATGACTTCCACCAAGCAAGCTGGGCAGATTTGGTAGCTCACTTTCCTCTAGGTGGGTGAGCCGCCAAAAGCCATAAATGGGTTATTTGGAACCTGGAGCCATGTGCTACTAGCAGGTCCTTGAGAAGCCGGCAGCCTCTGCCCTCTGCTGGGCCCCGACTGCCAGGTGGTGAAATTGCCTTGGTTTGCCTGACCCTGCCCTTGCTCCTAGGCTGTGAAGACGCCGCGGTCCCTGGCTGTTCCCAGGCCCTCAAAAGGGTCACACCTAGTACAGCCGCCTCTTCTTCCCTCTTCAGTTAAAATCCCATTCCCTTTAAAGCAATGGCTCTTGGAGAGAACAAGTAGGGTAAAAAGAATCCATACTATGTTTAAATGACTGACAGGCTTTTAATCTATCCCCAGCCTCTTTGTCGTAACAAAATAAAGCATCTGTTTCACAGCCTGCCTCTAAGATCTTCTGATGGAGAGACTAGGAGGCATCCATGCATGTTTGCTTCCCCAGCCTCGACTGCACCAATGAATATTTTGAAATCCTGGATGGCCCTCCGTCCTCAGCAAAGTCCCTGGGGAAGACCTGCTCTGGTTCCTACCTCGTGTATGCATCCTCCTCCAGCTCAATGACCCTGGTGTACTTCCGAAGCTTCAACAACATAGGAAAAAACTTCATTGCTTATTATTATTCTGCAACCAAAGGTAAGAATGGTGCTTATGCAAAACAACTCTAGCACTGGACTATCTGCCTGGGTACGAGTTACGTTGTCATCCCTTACTCTGTGACCTTGGACAAGCAACTTGACCTCTTCCTACCTCAATTTCTTTCCTGTACATGGGAACAATAATAGAAGCTTACTCCCCAGGTTTGTTGTGAGGGTTACATGAAATGACACAAGTCAGCTCATTAGCAAGTCTTCCTGAAATTACTCCAAATCTAGTACTCAGTGGATATTTTACATCCTATGTACAGAAGAAGAAAGTGTGGTTCCAGCTTAAGAGAGGCTTGTGCCCAACTAAGAGGGAGTTCAAGATGAATGCATGTGATACAATTAGACGACAAATACAATACACTAGATTAAGGCAAACAAATAGGACAAATAGAATATATTAGCATATACTAAGTTGGCATGTGCAAAACACATTAGGAAAGAGAGAGCACACTGTAGATTACAAGTATTAAGAAAAACATCAGGGGGGGCCGGCCCGGTGGCACACTGGAGAGTGCGCCGCTTGGGAGTGTGGTGGCGCTCCCGCCTAGGGTTGAGATCCCATGTGGAGACCGGTTCCCGCTCACTGACTGAGCGCAGTGCGGGCGCAGCACCGAGGGTTGCGATCCCGTTGCCGGTCCCCAGTACGGGCGCGACACCGAGGGTTGTGATCCCATTACCGGTCAGTAAAAAAGACAAAAAGAAAAAAAAAGAAAAACATCAGGGGACAGGAGGAACAGCCTTGAACTCGGCTTTAAAGCTGGCTGGGTCATAAGTGGAGAAACAGGGAGAGAGCGTGTCAGGTGAGAGAACAGTGTCAGCCCACAGATGATGTGTACGAGGCACGTGGCAAGAAGGCAGACTGCAGCTAAGCCAGGGGTTTCTGTTGAAGCACAGCGTACTCAAGGTTAGGTAACAACAGTAATAGTGATCGAAATACTCAAAAGGCCAGCTAATGTTTATTGAATGTCTGTTATATGCCAGGCAGCATTGTAGGCACCTGACACTATCCTCACACAAAACCATCTTTTACAGATGAGGACACTGAGGCTTGAGAGTGCACTAATTATCCCAGATCTACCTACTAGTAAGAGAAAATAGGCAAAACTCACAGAATCACAGATGACTCGCATCCACTTTGTCCAAGAACTCGTTCAGAATAGTCTCCAGCGCTTTTAGCAAGAGCCAGGATGATTCACTGAGCAAGCTTGGGAAACCTGCTATAGAGCACAGAGATGATCCACATCACAAAGCGGATCAGGGGAAATTACCGTAGTCGGCATTAAACAGCTACTGATGATGGTTTCCTTGTATTTGCAGAGGCTGTGTCGCAGACTCCACATCTCATCAGTGAGTCATGTTCCATATTGATACTGAATCTTCTTCCCAAGTCCGTGTTTCCTCTTCTGTCCACACTGCTGGTGCTTTTACTGTCATCATTTGACCTCCCATATATGTTTGCTAGTTCCCTGTCTAAATCTGCCATAGCTGAGAGATTCGGTCTCCACATTTCTTGCACAAGTCTGATGCCCATTCACTCTGGGACCAAGTGACAACTATCAACAATCAGGTCACTGCATATCGATAATTGTCACTTTGATTTCCTAATTCCTTGTTTTTGTTAAAGACAATGAGACACAGCTAATCAGATACTCCACATTTAGGGAAAGTTAAAAAAGAAACATGCAGGAGATAAGGTTGTCTTCCCCAGGAGGACACTGATTTTGAATGTTGGCATTTTAGCACAGAATGGCACATTTAAATATTGTTTCCCAGTAGCGGGGCAGAAGGGAATATCATTTCTGTTGGACCCCACGCATCTGAGAAACATCAAGACCCACATAAAAAGAGAGTTTGATTTGGGAGGTCACTTATTATGAAGAAGAGAAAGAGAAAGAATCAGGCAGAATCTTGGCGATTAATGGAGACTGATCTCAGAATGCTGCCCCTTGACTTGCCCGAATCCTTCCTTTTTACTCAGGAGTGTCTTCTTGTATCCACAGCCATCCCGACAGCAACACCCAAGATAGTAACAGCAAGACCCGGTAAGCCCTGGAAAGCATTTGTTTGCTCAGCAGGTGTCCTTCCCTCTCTGCTTGTGCATTTGTATCTACGTCTGTACCTGCTTCATGTGCAGACACTGGACCAACTGCAAACAATTTATCTATTTACAAATGGGTCAGTTGACTCTGCCCAAACTTTTAGGGCCATTCAGAGCTTTTAGGATCTTTTGGCTTTAGGTTTTCAGGATAAGCCAAGTTCATTTTCTCAGTGCCTTTCAGAGTCAGCAAAGCCTGGGCAGCTTACGAGTACCTTCTAGTGGATTTCTGTCTTTTCTTTTCATGCCAGTCCTGATCATAGTTAGCTTCACATCCGTATCTCTAACAGACTTTTTCAAAATGAGTGGAGTGTTGGAACCATTTTGGAGGCAGTGAGATAGAATAGCAGAGAAAATAAAATAGTCAACTTTGGAATCAAGAGACCTGAATATTTAGATCTGCTATGTACCAGATGTGGGATTTGGGGTAGATCACTTTACTTCTTCAACTTTCAGTTTTCTCACAGATAAAACTAGTATATCAATACTCCTCTGCTTACTTTCCTAAGTTATTATAAAGGTGAGGTGAACACACACACACACCCACACACAAAAGCACTTCCTGAAACCACAAATCACTGTGTAACTTATTTATAATGGGTTTCTGCATTTAGCCTAGACAGATTGGTACATACCTCTGGCAAGACAGATACTTGATTAATGGGCTTTTTAGGCTAAAAGTTATTGGCAATTTAATGACTTACTAATCTCCAGCTGGGCAGTTGACTAGTTGACTGTCTCTTTTACCAGGTTCTCTGGCCCCAGTAGTAGCACGGGGGTGGGGAACTCAACAAACTCATGGGAAGGGTACAGTGCTCCCAGAGGACAACAGTCATCAGGTGTCTGTCTGCAGGGGGCTGGCCAGAGCTGCGGCTGGTGGCCAGCTCAGGTCGGTGCTCAGGACGTGTGGAGGTCCTGCACAAGGGGGCCTGGGGCACCGTGTGTGACGACCTGTGGGACCTGAATGAAGCTGAGGTCGTGTGCAGACAGCTGGGGTGCGGTCGGGCCATGTCTGCTCTTGGAAAGGCCCACTTTGGACCAGGCTCTGGAGACATCTTCCTGGACAACCTCCAGTGCTCTGGGGTAGAACGCTACCTGGGCCAGTGCGCCCACTCGGGCTGGTCGGAGCACAACTGTGGCCATCATGAGGATGCTGGGGTCATCTGCTCAGGTATCTGCTCCTCTCTCAGAGGGTCACTGCCAGTGCCAAAGTGCTTCAAGATCACCCTGCTAGCATCCAGAGTCAGTCAGGGACAAAGACAGGATTCTCAGACATATAGACATTTTGCTTTATCTCTTCTAACTGGGTTAGGTGGATAAGGTTCTAACTGCTAGCCTCCAGAATAAAACCTGATTTTCCAATTTGATCGTAAGAATTACCAAAGGTATGTGTGCTTTATTGAAACATGCAAAGAACATGTTTAACTAGGGGAATTTTTCAGGAGCTTACATAAAAGACTCAGCCCGATACAGTAAAGGGAGGGAAGGCTTCAGAGCCAGGCAGACCTGAGTCTGGCTTTCCTAGAGAGTGCTAGCACTCAGACTGCATTTGAACAACACTCAAACTGTTGGAGCCACAGTTTCTTCATCTGTAACATTAGGAGACTAGTTGCTTACTTGCAGGATTGCCAAAAGGAGAAGAGTTTTCTTTGGCACAGCACTTGCGTAGTACCTGACAAAGGAGCAGGATATTTTGGTAATTCAGGATTCAGTCACAACACCAAGGTAATCTGTGAAATAAACAGACTAATTTTAATTACCTTGTAACAATTTTTTAAAAAATACTTTGAACTTACTCATGTGCAACTAGTTAGCTAAGAGTAAGTTAGCCACCTCTGGAATGTCTGTTAATAGCGCTTTCTGATAATGAGATGCCTCTTGGTAAACTAACAGCTGCAATACCTGATGTGACTTGAAAGAATCAGTAATCATGACTCGAAGTGGTGCTCGCTCCACGGAGTTGCCCATGTGAGCAGCAGCTCAGTGGTATGTCAGCACCTGCTGCCTGTGACTCTTAATTTGAGGCACGCATTTATAAACATTGTCTTGTTGGTGCATTCATTCATTTGCTTCGTGGCATCTTATTATGCATGCCACATGTAACCTAGTTACAGCCTTGTGGGTACATGTTATTGCCAAGTTTTGATATTCTAGAGGACGATTGTCTAAATCTGAGGTACCCCCAAAGACCCCAAAGTGAAGCGTCTCTGCTACAAAATCAGTAGTTTGTCAGATCATCCCAAATGTACCCTTCACATCTGACCATTTTCTCATAACACAGTAGTAAACCAAAAACCAGGGGCTGGCCCGGTGGTGCACTGCTATAGTGCGCCGCTTGGGAGTGCGGTGGCGCTCCCACCGAGGGTTCGGATCCCACATACAGACCGGTTCCCGCTCACTGGCTGAGCGAGGTGCGGGAGCAGCACCGAGGGTTGCGATCCCGTTGCCGGTCCCGGTCCGGTACGGGCGCGACACTGAGGGTTGCGATCCGTTGCCGGACACGGAAAAAGACAAAAAAAAAACCCAAAAACCAGAGAGAAGCTTACCTTTGTGTCTGTGGACGAATCTGCTTCGCCCCCAGTCCTATGTTATTTACAAAGACTAATTTTTCCCTTATAAGATTAATAAACACATATAAAGATACAATGAGAAGCTTTGTCTTCAGTTACTAAAGTCAGAATGTCCCCAAATACTGACATACTTAATCTCTCTATAAACAGATGCCGAAGAGTCGCTTGTTAACAGACCAGGTCAGTCACCCTTTTGTTGATGGGAGTTAAGCGTCAGCTCCTCTTGATTTTGCCCCTGAGCTGTCTGTTCTTCCAGCTGTACTTTCACTCCTTCTCTGAACTGCAGAGATTTTCACGCCTCTAAGATGCCGTTAGAAAGTCTTGTTTGCAATTACTTTTGCTTCTCACATATGATGATGGTTCTGTGTGTTTTAAGTTCACGTTTTTTAGAAATGCCTGCGAGAGTAAAATGTTGTCTCATGGTCTTTTTACATATATTGTTCCCTCTGCCTCAAGGGACTTGCCCAGCCCTTCCCCTGACTAGCTCCTCCAAACTTTTTAAAGAGGTGTCTCCCCCAGGCCCCTCCTCTCTGTTATTCTTTTCATAGCATTGCACGCTTTCCCTTTGGTGCAATTATCACAGTGTGGAATAGTGCATTGTACCAGTGTCTGTATTTGCCTAATAAATAGACTTGAGGCTCCCTGATGGCAGAAACCATATTTAGAGCTGTATTATCAGTGCCTAACATGAAAGACAATCAGTCGATACTGTTGAAATGAAATTAAATTGACTGAAGACCCCACTACCTGCAAGTCAGGAACACGTGAGAAATGTGAAGAACAGGCCACAAAGCTCAAGTTCAAGGCTGTACCTCCCCAACATGCCTCTGAGTCTGGTGCTAGTGAGCCCAGGCAGGGTCTTTCGGGAACTCACACCTCCCATCTCTACCTGCAGGGGACTGGCCAGAGCTGCGACTGGTGGGTGGCTCAGGTCGGTGCTCCGGACGCGTGGAGGTCCTCCACCAGGGAGCCTGGGGTACCGTGTGCGATGACCTGTGGGACCTGAATGAAGCTGAGGTCGTGTGCCGACAGCTTGGGTGTGGACGGGCTGTTTCCAGCCCCAGTGGGGCCCACTTTGGCCCAGGCTCTGGAGACATCTTCCTGGACAACCTCCAGTGCTCTGGGGTGGAACGCTACCTGGGCCAGTGCGCCCACTCGGGCTGGTCAGAGCACAACTGCGGCCACCATGAGGATGCTGGGGTCATCTGCTCAGGTATCCTCTCCCCTCTCAGGCAATATTTCTGAGGTTGTGGTTGAAGACATTTTGAAACTGTACATCCTTGGTGAACCCATCCATCTGCTTGTCTCTTGAGCATCTCCTCTGGGTCAGGCCCTGGGCCCAGACACATGCCCAGCCACCGGCAGCTCCAGGGTTGCATGGGGGAAGTCTCAAATGTTAATGGGCACCAGCACCACCTGGGGTATTACAATGCAGATTCCAGGGCCCTGTCCAAGTTTATGACTAAGTAGGTTTGGAAAGGGGCTGAGGAATCTGCATTTTAACAAGTAGTCCAGGGATTCCTAATAAGAGGGGCCAACGCCCTGGCTGCCATGGGGCCGAGTTGACCCAGTTGCTGTGCCCTGGCCCCCTAGGCCAAGGACCCTACCAGAGGAGGGCTGAGGTTGCCCATGAGGCAGTTCTGGTACTCTGGGTTCCCATGCCCAGAAAGGCCACAGTCCTCTCCTATTCAACCCACACCCTTGTCTGCCCCACCTCTTCCATGCTTTGGATTCACTAAAGACAGTCACCTGTTGCCTTTCTTTATGCATTCAGATGCCGAAGACCTGCCTCTGCCCACGCTTCCAGGTATGTTCATATTTCTTTTTCTAGTACAGGCAACTTTCTAATAGTAACAACAATAATAGAAGCAAATACTTATAATTGCTAAGAAGCACACTGTGTTCTAAGCCCTTCACACATATAACTCATTTAATCCCCACTCAATATAGCCCTCAAGGTAGGTACATTGATTATTCAAATTTTCCAGATAAACCAAGACATAGACACTTAGCAGGATATCCAGGGCTAGCCAGTGGATTTGAATCCAAGCTCTCTGTGCTCTTGGCTACCAATCCCACTTAATATACCCATTCACTGGCCCCAGCTACACAAAAACAAAGCAAAGCTACAGTAAAGAGGGAGACATTTTGCTCAGATTATTGCTAATCATCAGGACTATTCTGACAAAAAGCATTATATGTGATATTTTACAGAAGAGAAATTGATATACAGAAAGGTTAAGTAACTTTCTCAAGATCACTCAACAAGTTAATGATGGAACCAAGCTTTGACAGTAATCAATCTGACCCCTGACCCCAAAGTATACTCTTGGGGCTCTTATGACTTTGGCCTGTTTTCAAAGATCTTATAATTTAATGATTGAATAATATTCCCCTGTAATAAAAACCAAAGACTAAAAAAATTAGGCCAGCACATGAACTACAAATTCTGAATTGATGCTTGAGGTGAATGAAAATGTATCTTGTTTCCTTGTAACAGATATTTCTGAGCATCTGCTCAGCAGCAGGCATGGTGCAAGTGTTTCTGGATAAATTTATTTATTTAATCCTCACAGTTGAGGATTGTTAATCAATAAACCAATAAATAAATCAGTAAGCCAGCCCAAGATAACTCAATCAGAAAGTGGCAGAACTGGAATTTACAAGGTCATCTCTTGCTCTTTGACTGTACCCAGCTGTTCCTACACAGCTTCAGAGAAGACACACAGTTCACAGGCACTGGCAGAAGCATCTCTCTCGGGCACTTGCCTGGAGAAAAACTTGATGTGTTCTGGGTGTCCCTGGGGGAAGGCCACCTTTATGAGTCAGGGTCATGAGTGAGAGGGGAAGGACTGTCTATAGTTCAAGGGCCACGGTTAGAGTCAAGGGCAGTGGATATTCAAATGAAGTCTCCTCTATGATTTTCTCATTTTATGTAAGTTACATGGATGACAGAGAAATGAGGAAAACAATGTTGAGTGAAAGGAGCTATTCTAGTTATCTATTGCTGCCCCAAAACATAGTGGTTTAAAACAACCCTCATTTAGATATGTCAGGGTTTTGTGGATCAGGAACTTGGGCAGGGCTAAGCAGGGAGATTCTTCTGCTCCACAGAGCATCAAACCAGTCACTGGATGATGTGCAGCTACTGGCTGGTCTAGAGAGTTCAAGACAGCTTCATTCACTTGGTGCCTTGGTAGAGACAGCTGGAAGGATGGGCTCAGTCTCAGGGCCTCTTCACATGGTCTTTCCAGCAGACTAGTCAGACTTCGTATAAGGTGGCTTAGTGCTGCATGTGTGAGCCCGTGTTCCCAGAGACAGGAAGTTAAAGCCACAGTCTCTTAAGGCAGAGTGCCACTTCTGCCACATTCTGTTGGTTAAAGCAGTCACAGAGACCACCCAGGTTCAAGAGAGGCAACCCAGACCCCATCTCCTGACAGGAATCATTTCCAAGATTTGTGGCCTTCCTTAATCTGCCACATGACTGTAGAGAACGCTTGATCAGCACCTTCAGATTCTTCTCAGTTTACACTAAGTACACTGACATTTCAAAGGAAACCCTTTACATTTCACTAACTTATAGGTGAGAATAAATATTTTTCTCCTGGATGTCATCATTTTCTCCATTTTTTCCCTTCCAGGTCCTTTGGCAGATTCTCAGGACCATGTAACAGGTAGTCATTTATATTAAATTGAAGTGATAACTTTGTGCCAAGACTCATCACAGCAGATGCTAGGCAGTGTGCCCAGGACATAGCACAATTGAGAGACTGGCACAGTGTGGGCGAGGGGTTTGCTTCTCTGGTGCCACTCTGTAAATACTAACTTTTTAACAAGAGGAGCAGGCTGGGAAGGGGGAATGTGGATCTGCCCAGGTCAGAGTAGGCAGGAAGGTTACAAGAGCCTTAAAGAGAATGTGGCTCATTGTTCCATCTGGCCATACTCAGCCTGCCTCCTTTGGGTGCAGTCCTGTAGCAGGCATCCACCTTGGACACCAGTCCATCATCCCCCAGTACATGTAGCAATTCCCAGGGGTTTCAATGTCAGTCTGACCCAGCCCCGGTTATTGTAAGCTACAAATGCAATCAATGATAGAACTACGGGGTTACTGGGACCAATGCCCCTTCCCGCTATCCATCTCAGGAAAGACTATGAATCTGTGGAATTCTGGGAGGATTACACGTTAATCAAGGGGAACAGAAAGAAAAATTAAGCAACTTTATAGCTTAGAGATAAGGTCAATAAAGTGTATTGTGTTTTCAAATTTCCTCCAAAATAATTTGATGATGCTAAGTTTTCTGGGTATTTTGTGTGACATGATGCCTTAAATATGTATATATTGTATGTGTATGTGCATGTATCTATCGATATTAATATGACAACTAACATGAAAGAATTGAATTTCACTATTATCTTTAGTCTGTATAAATCCCAAAACCTGCAAGTTCCATTCTCAGAGTAAATACTGAGTTAAAGGAAACACAATTTCCCCAGCAAAAGTGATGAAGAAAGTACTTAAAGGAGATCCCAGTCATAACCTCCCCAAACAGTCCATAAGGTCCCTCTCCCTTCACCTCAATTCATTCAACTCCAAAGTTATTCTAGAGCCTCTTACTCCCCAAAACTCCTCACCCTCTCTCCTTACACAGGCTTGTACCACCTCTGTCTCTAGGCCTCACCATCCCAATCTGTCGTTAGGTAGATCTACTTCATTTCTCTACCAGCAAGCAAAAGTCCTCCACTTTAGAAAGCAGGAGGAGGGGGCCGGCCCGGTGGCGCACTGCTACAGTGCGCCGCTTGGGAGCGCAGTGGCGCTCCCGCTGAGGGTTCGGATCCCACATACAGACCGGCCACTCACTGGCTGAGCGAGGTGCGGGCGCAACACTGAGGGTTGCGATCCCGTTGCCGGTCCCGGTCCGGTACGGGCGTGACACTGAGGGTTGCGATCCGTTGCCGGTCATGAAAAAAGACAAAAAGGAAAAAAAAGAAAAAAAGAAAGCAGGAGGAGACAGTAAGTGGAGAGGACAAAAATAACATTTTCTTTGTCAGGTGGTAGGGGAAGAGGGAAAGGTAGGGAACTCTCACACATTATTACTTTCTGACCCATCAGAATCAGATTGAATGGGCTTTCCTTCCCAAGAGACATTTAAGCTAAAGAGCCATCAGCTTGTGCATGCCCACCCAGGCCGACTGCTGTCCAGCTGCACCTGACTATTGGTGTGAGCTGGTCATGGACTGGGATCACACAAGTGATGCCGTGTGGACACATCCTGACATCCTTTTTCCTGTCATTTCAGGAGGAAGTAACTCTTGTGGAGGGGTCATCTCTAGTCTCTCTGGCTCATTCTCTAGTCCACAGTATCCAGAAAACTACCCCACAGACATCCAATGTGTTTGGGAGATCCATGTGGGCAACAAATTCCACATAGAACTCATGATTCCAAGTTTGAAGTAAGAAAACACTTTCATTTATTAATTTTTATTACTGTCTTTATCATTACACAATGTAATCATTTTTTGTGGCCATTTACCAACTTCTCACTAACCCTCCCTTCCCCATCTCCTTTCCCACCTCTGGTGGCCTGAATTCCATTCTCTCCTTTTGAAAATTCAGTGAATTATTGTGGTTGTTGTATCTTTCTTTCTTTTTTTGTTTGTTTGTTTTTAGCTCCAACTTATGAGCGAGGATATGTGGTATTTCTCTTTCTGTGCCTGGATTATTTCACTTAACGTAATTTTCTCTAAGTTCATCCATGCTGCTGCAAATGGCAGAATTTCATTCCTTTGTATGGCAGAGTACTATTCCATTGTGCATATGGACCACATTTTCCTTATCTAGTTGTCCAGTGATGGTCATTTAGGTTGGTTCCAACTCTTACCTATTGTGAAGAGAGCTGCAATAGAAGGGGCAGTGCAGGTATCCCTTCAAAGTGATGACTTCCATTCCTTTGGGTATACACCCAGCAAATGGGATTGCTGGATTGTATGGCAGTTCTGTCTGTAGTTGTTTGAGAAATCTCTATACTGGTTTCCATAATGGCTGCACTAATTTACAACCCCACCACATCTTTGACAGCATTTGTTATTCTTTGTCATTTTTTAGTGGCCACTCTAACTGGTGTGAGATGACATTTCAATGTAGTTTTAATTTGCATTTCCCTAGTGATGTTGAGTATTTTTTCATATGTCTGTTGGCCATTTATAAATCTTCCTTTGAGAAATGCCTATTCAGCTCCTTTGCTCGTTTTTTCATCAGGTTACTCATTTTTTTACTGTTAAGTTGTTTGAGTACTTTGTATATTCTTGATATTAATCTCTTGTGGGATGCATAATTTCTGAGTATTTTCTTCCATTTGGTAGGTTGTCTTTTAGCTCTGTTAATTGTTTCTTTTATTGTGCAGAGCTTTTTAGTTTGATATAATCCTATTTGTTTCTTTTTCCTTTTGTTGCCTGTGCTTTTGGAGTCTTATTCATAAAAGTCTTTGTCCAGTCCTACTTCCCGAATTGTTTCCCCTATGTTTTTTAATAGTACTTTTATAGTTTCAGATCTTATATTTAAGTCTTTCATCCATTCTGAGTTGGTTTTGGTATATAGGAAGAGGTGTGGGTCTAGTTTCATTCTTCTGAATATGGATGTCCAGTTATCTCAGCATCACTTATTGAAGAGGCTGTCCCTTCCCCAATGTCTGCTCCTGCTGCCTTTGTCAAAGATCAGTTGGCTGTAAGTACATGGGTTGATTTCTGGGTTCCCTAATCTCTTTCATTGGTCCGAGTGTCTGTTTTCTGCCAGTACTATGCTATTTTGGTAACTATAAGCTTTGTAGTATAATTTGAAGTCAGTAGTGTATTTATTTATTTATTTATTTTTGCTCAGGATTGCTTTGAGTAGTGCAGACATTTACATAATGTTAATTCTTCAAATCCAAGAGCATGGAATATCTTTCCATCTTTTTGTGTCCTGTTTAATTTTTTTCAGCATTGATTTGTAATTCTTGTTGTAGAGATCTTTCACCTCCTTGGTTAAATTGATTCCTAGGGATTTTATCTTTTTGGTTACTATTGTACATGGGCTTCCTTTCTTGATTTCTTTTTCTGCTAGTTCGTTATTGGAGTATAAAAATGCTACTGATTTTTGTGTGTTGATTTTGTATCCTGTGATTTTAGTGAAATTGTTTATGATCTATAAGAGTTTTTTGGTAGAGTCTTCAGGTTTTTCTGTACATAGGATCATGTCATCTGCAAACATGGACAATCGGTCTTTCCCAGTCAGGATGCCCTTTATTTCTTTATTTTGCCTGATTGCAAATAGCTAGTACTTCCAATACTATGCTAAATAGGAGTGGTGAGAGTGGGCATACTTGTCTTTTTCCTGTTCCAGGATGATATTGTTGGTGGGTTTGTCATATATGGATTTTATTGTGCTGAGAGATTTTCCTTCTATACCTAATTTGCTGAGAGTCTTTATCCTGAAGAGATGTTGAATTTTGTCAGATGCTTTTTCTACATCTATTGAGATAATTATATGGTTTTTGTCCTTGATTTTGTTGATGTGGTGTATCACATTTATTGACTTGCATATGTTGAGCCATCCTTGCAAGTGGGATGAGTCCCACTTGATTATGGTGTCCAATCTTTTTGATGTGCTGCTATATTCTATGCATTAATATTTTGTTGAGGATTTTTGTGTCTAGGTTCATCAGAGATATTAGCCTGTAGTTTTATTTTTTTTGTTGTATCTTTATCTGGTTTTGGTATTAGGGTGATGCTGGCCTCATAGAATGAATTTGGGAGAATGGCCTCTTTCAATTTTTTGGAATAGTTTGAAGAGAATTGGTATTAATTCCTCTTGGAAGGTTTGGTAGAATTCAGCAATAAATCCATGTGGTCCTGGGCTCTTCTTTGTTGGGAGATTTCTGACTACTGCTTCAATCTTGTTGCCTATTATTGGTCTATTCAGGTTTTCTATTTCTTCTTGGTTCAGTCTTGGTAGTTTTGTATGTGTCCAGAAATTTATCCATTTTTTCCAGGTTTCAAATTTGATGGCTTATAGTTATTTATAATAATAGCCTCTAATGATTCATTTCTGATTTTTTTATTTGGCTCTTCTCTCTCTCTCTCTCTCTCTCTCTCTCTCTCTCTCTCTCTCTCTCTCTCTTAGTTAGCTTAGCTAATAGTTTATCTATTTTTTATCTTCTAAAAAATAACTTTTGGGGGCCGACCCCATGGCACACTCGGGAGAGTGCAGCACTGGGAGCGCAGCGACGCTCCCACTGCAGGTTCGGATCCTATATAGGAATGGCCGGTGCGCTCACTGGCTGAGCGCAGTGCGGACAACACTAAGCCAAGGGTTGTGATCCCCTTACCAGTCATGAAAAAGACAAAAATAAATTAATTAATTAATTAAAAAAATTGTTTCATTAATCTTTTGTATCATCTTTTTGGTTTCTATTTCATTTTGTTCTTCTCTGATGTTAATTTTTTTTTCCATCTACTCATTTTGGTGTTGGATTGTTCTTGTTTTTCTAGTTCTCTGAGGTGTAGCATTAGGTTGTTTATTTGAACTCTTTCTATTCTTTTGACGTAAGTGGTTTTTTGCAATAAACTTCCCTTTTAGTACTGTTCTGTGGTACCCCACAGGTTTTGGTATGATCTGTCTTTATTTTCATTAGTTTCAAGAAATTTTTTGATTTCTTGTTTAATTACTTTCTTTTTTTTCGGTCCTTTTTGAGACTGGCTGCACCACGCTCAGCCAGTGAGCACTGGAGCGCACCAGTCATCCCTATATAGGATCCGAACCCGCGGCGGGAGCACTGCTGAGCTCCCAGCGCCGCACTCTCCCGAGTGCGCCACAGGCTTGGCCCTTGTTTAATTTCTTTTTGGACCCATAGGTCATTCAGGAGCATGTTGTTTAATTCCCATGTGTTTGTATAGTTTCCACAGTTTTGCAAGTTATTCATTTCTAGTTTTGATCCATTCTGGTCTGAAAAGATACTTGAAATTGTTTCAATTTTTAAAATTTGTTGAGACTTGTGGTCTATCCTGGACGATGTTCCATGTGCTGATGAGAAGAATGTATATTCTGTAGCTGTTGGGTGAAATGTTCTGTAGATAACTGCCCCATCCAATTGGTCTAAAGTGTAGTTTAAATCCTGTGTTTCTCTGTTGATTTGTTGCCTAGATGATCTATCTAGTGCTGAAAGAAGGGTATTCAGGTCCCCAACTATTGTTATATGGAGGTCTGTCTCTTTCTTTAGGCCTAATAGTGTTTGCTTTATATATCTGGGTGCTCCAGTGTTGGGTACATATATATTTATGATTGTTACATCTTTTTGCTAGAGAGATCGCTTTATCATTATACAATGACATTCTTCATCTTTTTTCATGCTTTTGGTTTAAAGTATATTTTATACAATATAAGGATAGCTATTACTGCTTGTTTCGGGTTTCCATTTGCATGGTATATTTTTTCCATCCCTTCACTATTAGTCTGTGTGTGTCTTTACAAGTGAGGCAAGTCTCTCAAAGACAGCATATAGTTGGGTTTAGCTTTTTAATCCAATCAGTCAGTGTCTTTTGAGTGGGGAGTTTAATCCATTTATATTTAGGGTTGTTATAGAAAGGTATTGTCTTACTCCTGGCATTTTATTGATTTTTATTTGGATGTTTTAAATATTTTTTGTTTCTTTCTTCCCCTTTTATTGTTTGTCTTTGATGTTTGTTGGTTTGTTGAGGTGGTAAGATTTAGGTTTCTTTCTCTTCCTTATTTGCATTTTTTCCTACCAGTGGGTTTTTTTGAGGTGGTAAGATTTTGAGGTGGTAAGATTTAGGTTTCTTTCTCTTCCTTATTTGCATTTTTTCCTACCAGTGGGTTTTGTTCTTTATTGTGTATTTGTGGTAGTAATTTTTTTTTTTTCACATTCCAGATGCAGGACTCCCTTAAGGATTTCTTGCAGGGCTGGTTGTGTGGTAGTCAACTCCTATAGTTTTTGTTTGTCTAGGAAATACACTATTTCCCTCCCATTTTTGAAGGATAGACTTAATGGGTATAGTACACTTGGCTGGCATTTTTTTTCTTTTAGTATTTTGAATATATCATCACGTTTTCTTCTGGCATGTAGAGTACCTGTTGAAAACTCTGCTATTTGTCTGATTGGGGCTCCTTTATAAGTGATCTGATGCTTTTTTCTTGCTGATTTTAGGACTCTCTCTTTGTCTTTGAGCTTTGCCAATTTGAGTATAATGTGTCTTGGAGAGGATCTTTTTGGATTGAATCTGTTTGGGGATCTTTGAGCCTTCTACATCTGAAGGTCCATGTCTATCCCTATACCTAGAAAGTTTTCCATTATTATTTTTTTGAATAGATTTTCAATGCATTTTCCTTTCTCCTCCCCTTCTGGAACATCCATGATTCAGATGTTTGTGCACTTCAGGTTGCTTGCTAGCTTTATTATATTTTCCTTATTTTTCTAAAATTCTTTTTTTTTTTTTTTTTGGTTCACCTGGGTTATTTTGAAATGACTATCTTCAAGATCAGAAATTATTTCTTCTGCTTGCTCTAACCTGCTGCTTAAGCTCTCAGTTGTGTTTTTTATTCTGTTGGATGAATCCTTCAGTTACAGGAGTTCTTCTACATTCTTTTTTAAGGTATTAATCTCTTTGTAAATTTTTTCTTTCATTTCCTGGGTATTTTTTCACATGTCATTGTGTTGTCTAACTGAGTCTTCTTGTATCTATTGAGTTTCCTTAAGATTGTTCCTCAGAATTCCTTTTCAGTAATTTCAAGGGTTTTCTGCTCTATGAGGTCTGGTACTTGAGAATTACTGTATTCCTTTAGTGGTATCATATTTTCTTCTGTTTTGTTTGTTTTGTTTTGTTTTGTTTTGTTTGTATATCTAGTATTCTACATTGATGTCTGGTCATCTGACAGAGCAGATGCTGCTTCTGTACCTCTGGAGTAGGCTTTGAGGAGAGAGCCTTCCTCCTCTTATTCTGGTCTCTGCTGGTAACTTTCCTTGTGTCAATGCAGTCAAGTGGGCAGCAGGCCACCTGCATGGTAGCTTTGGCTGCTACTGTGCTGGTGAGCCACCCTTGCAACAGCAGTGTCTATGGCTGTGGTGGTGGCTGTGCTGGACCCCTGCAAGGAAGTGGTGTTTTCATCATGCTCCTGACTTCTGCCAGGTTAGAGTTAGTGGGGGCTGCACTCAGTTCCTGCCTAGGACCTCAGGTGTGCTCTCACCTTCTGTTGGGCAGTGGGCACTATCTATGGCTCCTGCCAGAAAACATTTAAAGAGAAGGTTCTATCTAAATAAGAATATTCGTTTGTAAAATCATAATAAAAATGTTACTTTTAGTGGGGAACACTTAAGGGTGATACCAGAAGAAAAGCATGTTCTATTTTCATTCCAAGTCAAAGTTTGTGTTAATTTTGCAGTGCTATACAATGAGTTACTTCTAGCTCAAAAAATGTAATAAGTGGTTTATTTAACACATTTGACTTAATCTTATTTTGATAATTTTTCTTTTGATTGTTTTTCTAAAAATACAAAAATTCTCAACAGCTTTGCCCTTGCTGTACACTGGGTACCAGTATTTGTCATCTTAGACTTTTTTAAAATCTAAATTTCAAACGAACAATAAAAGACTTCCCATACACACATATTAGCCAACTACTCTAGCCTTGGGCTCTGTATTTTCTAAATGTTCCACAAAGTGAAAGGAGACACTAGAGTCATTGCTTCTCTGACAAAGAGCATAAATGTTCCAAAGTCACTGCCATTTTTAAAAAAATTTCCATGACATAAAATAATAGCTGGCTATGTGCCCAAACTCTGTATTACATACTTTGTATGTTTTTCCATATTACAGGATCATTACAGGCCAAAGATAAGTGTCCTTGTCATCCCCATTAGAGATGAGGAAACTGAGGCTCAAAGAGGTTGCCTAATTTGCCCAAGGCTAACTCATCTACCTCTGCCTGATTTCAAGCCCTCAGTATTGGATTCTGTAAGCAGAGTCTGCACAAAGCTTTTCATCTTGTTGTACATGACACACATCATGTTACAATCACAGCGAGACTATGGAATTCCATGATAATCCAGCTTCAGACATGTACTGAATTGTTGTTCAGTCACAACTGTACCACAGCATTCAGACATGCCCTAAGCCAAAAAAAAAAAAAAATGTCCTAAAACAAATTATCTCTGTTGGCTAAGACCCTAGGGAAACAATTAGCCCACAATGAGGTGAGAACCTTAAACCCACACTTCCAAAGTCTATCGTGTTATCAGTTGTCTATTCGTTCAAAATCAGCCCTCGTCACATCCCTCATGGATAATTGCCAAAGTGCAAACACTCTTCTATACGCTGTCATTATTTTTATTTTAAAATCAAGTTTTAAGAATTAAGATAGAGAAAGAATCTCAAGAATTAAGATAGAGAAAAATATTGTGTAATACAGAGGTAGGAAAATCCGGGTATGATGTCAGCTGCATGCTGATTGTCAGGGTGATCTGACTGTTAAGAATTTAGTTGCAATGTAAATTAGTATTTCATTAATGTCTTATCTAGGTTATGATTAGCCAAAACCATTATGATTTTAAAACCCTATTATAAAATTGTAACCATAAGCCTCACTCATTCCTCAGACAAAGAAAATAAAGTCTGATAGGGCATCTGAAAATGTAAATTTATATTTTGTGTATTAGTATGCAATCTAAAATACAATCCAAATATTCAATCTCTATAATTGTCACACTTTTTTAGCCTTGATGTCTAGGAAGTCTGCCACTAACCCTCCACTTCTGTTCCCCCAGACTGGAAGATATCCTTGGATGTCCCTATGACTCAGTTGAAATCTTCGATGGCCCTAGGATTGCCTCGCTGTCCATGGGGAAGTTCTGTGCCCCAGTAGCTGTGATGTTTTTCTCCTCCTCAGACATCATGACAGTGGTGTTCCGAAGTGATTCTGTGATAACCAACACTGGCTTTCATGCTGTGTTCAATGCTATTCCACAGAGTGAAAAGGAGTCAGGTAAGAAGCCTCAAGTAGTTTTTAGTGTTTAAAAAACATGACAGTTTCTAACTTGAGAAATTCCCCTATTAGCCAAGGCCTGGGGTTCAGTTTTAAAAGACCTCCACACTTATTTCCATCAGCCTTGCTTTGTAGCTGCTAGATTTTCCCACCATAAAGACTACTTGGGAAGCTACAAATAAGTAATGATGTGCATCCTTCATGTAAATGGCCAGATTGCTACTGTCTGCAGGGAAAAGACACATGCTATGAAGGGTCTTGAGGCTGCACTGACCATCTGCAGCCTCTTGGGAACTGTCCAGAGCACTGAAGTGTGGAAGTCCAGCACTCCTATGAGAAGACTCCACTCCCCACCACCATTTCATACCTTGTGTGCATTGGACCGCAGACTCACCCAAATGCGAGGCTTGAGGACTCCTGTAAGCCCTGGCCCTATAACCAGTCATTCCAGAGCCAGGTCCAGTTTGCACTCTGCAAGCATGCTGCCTGCTGATGTGGGCTTCTATTGTTCAGGGGCCCCTGCAGGAACCCCAATAACTCATTCAAGCCACACACACAAAAAAACCAGGTAGTCCGTTCGTGACTGCAGTTTGGTTCTTGTCTGTCTCTGAATAAGGGAATTCCTTGCATATTTGGCCCTCAAAGGTATGCTTGAGACTCTGCCCTGGGGAAGCTAGGTAAGCTCCAGCATTTGAAATCCAGACCACTCAGTGCTCAAGACCACCATTCATTCATCCAACAATAGTTACAGAGGTCCTACTATAACCAGGTCCTCTTATAAGTGTGGGGGCACAGAGCAAACAGGGCAGCTCCCTGCCCTCATGGAGTTTATATTCTAGTGTGGATGTCGGTAAGTGTGAGAGGATCAAACCACAGGGAACAAATAAATAAATATGATTATTTGGGGGTAAGGATGATAAAAGGTAAAGATGAGGGCTGAGAATAAAATAACCAGCTAAGACAGTACAGAGTGACGGGGTGGAGGAGGTATGTCTGTGGATTGGGTGGGAGTGGATGGCCTCTCTGAGGAGGTGACATGTGATGAATGACAATGAAGCAGCATTCCAGGCACAGAGAATAGCAAAGGCTCAGGGGGATGGTAGGGGAGAAGAGTTGGACATGTGGGAGCAACAGAAAGGCCAGTTTGTCAGAGCCTGTGGACACAGTGACGGGAGGCTGTCCCTGTGGTGTCTCCAGGAGACAGCAGGTAATTCCAACTGGCCACAGCACTTTGGCCCAGATATAGCCATTGCCATTGGGCTCTTTGAAATCACAGTCACTCTTGAGATCTAGGTTACTTTCAGGGAAGTAAATCTACACTTGTTCAAGACACATCCAAAAAAATCAACTGGAACCTGCTTCCCCAGTAACCCAGGATTGTGACATGAAAACCACATGGCCCTCTGAGATAGCTGCTGCTAAGTCCCCATTTTACAGATGAGGAAACTGAGGCCCAGGGAAACTAAGTAACTTGTCAAAAGTTATATAGTTAGGGAAAAGAAGAACTGGGATTCAAATCCACCTTTGTCTCCTCTAAAGACCATAAACCTATTATGGAATCAGGAGAGCTTTAAGGGTTTGCTCTTGAGTTTGCCTTAGCCACAGATGCAAAATCTAAAAATCAAATCACTTCCTCCTTAAAACTTCCCACACTCAAAAACAAAATTCTGCTCTGTTTAGAAGATGGACCAGTGCTGCGGCTGGCGGGTGGCTCCGGACGATGCTCGGGACGCGTGGAGGTCCTCTACCAGGGAGCCTGGGGCACCGTGTGTGATGACCTGTGGGACCTGAATGAAGCTGAGGTCGTGTGCAGACAGCTGGGGTGTGGACAGGCCATTGCTGCTCCTGGAAAGGCCTACTTTGGCCCAGGCTCTGGAGACATCCTCCTGGACAATGTTCAGTGTTTGGGAAGTGAGAATCACCTTGGCTTGTGCCCCAGCTCCAGCTGGTCAGATCACAATTGTGGCCACCATGAGGATGCTGGTGTCATCTGCTCAGGTAACTTCTCCTCCCATGGGAGGTTCTTATCTGTCAGCCAGAGGCATCTTAGTGATGAATGGAAGACATGCATAGATCAGGGCCAGGGAATCTAAGGACGGTGGCCCAACATATGAATGTTCCTTCAGCCAGGTAGACAGAAAACGTTAAGAGCCTGTCTCCATTCTGAAGACAAACACACCAGGGCCATACAATTGGCTGGTCCTGTTCTCTGCACCTCTCCCAGGTCTGGAGCTACTTTTCCAGAGTGTAACCATGCCGTTATTCTTACTTATAAGACATGAAGTTTGCCTGCTTGAGACCTGCACAGACTGGAAAACCACCATTTCTTTGTCTTCATAGGATTTAATTTAGATTTTTCTAAATTTTCTTTTCTTTCATGCATGCAGATGCTGGGGACTGGGCTCCAGATGTAATTCCTGCACCCCCAGGTAGGTCCGACTCTATGAATTTCCACTATCTCTGCAAAGTTCAAGAGAAATCTAATCTCTGTCCTGATGTAGACACTGGTGGACTATGAGTAGACGTGATTTCCAATTCTGGCTGCACACTAGAATCACCCAGGGAGCTTCTGAAACTCCCCATGCCCAGGCTGCGCTCCTCACCAGTCACACCAGAGTGTCTGGGGTCATTCCCAGTCATCAGGAATATTTAAAGCTCCCCATGTGATTCCAGTATGCAGCCAAGGTTGAGAACCAGTGGCTCAGACAAGGAACTAAGAGCCACATTTCCCAAACGGAATTACATCCAAAACTGTACTCTCTAGTGGCAGAGCAAGGAAGGGCAGGAGGAGAGAAGAAAGGAGAAAGGTTCAATCATTGCACCTGGGAAGAGGGTCAATATGGAGAAGAGGGAAGGTGGAAAGGGCTGCCTCTCAGGGACGTGGGTCATAACATGAGGACACACAGGAGAACAGATGCATTAAATGCCAGACCCTCTCTGGTCAAGGGCAGTAAACCATGTGGGGCTCTTCTATGGACCTTCTGGCTTAGCAACACAGCACAGTAGACCTTCTGGTAACCTATTCAAAGTCAACATGTAGCATTGACCTTCTCCCAGTCTCCAGATTCCAACGAGATCCAGAGCACATGTAGTCCTGCCTCCTGCCACCTTCTACTTCTCAGGGATGGGTTTTCAGCTGCCTGCTGCCCTGCCCTGGCACCCCGGGCCCTTCCCAGCCTCCTCCTGACCCTACCACTGACTGCTGCCACCCTATCCCTGCAGTGAGGGCCTGGGCACTGGGAAGGTGTCAGGACAGAGGTGCACCTTTTGATGTTTCAGGGTCCAGCAAGGTGTCTGGCTGCTGTGCCTATCCTGGGCTGGGAGCATTATGACACATTTGGCAAGACACTCAGTGAAGGTCTCTTGCCCACTCCAATCCAGGTCCCAAGCACATCCCAGCGTGGAGGTCACCACTGCTTATGGGTTGCCCATCTGCCATGGGTTGGGGCAGTGGACCCGTGGGAAGGGGTGATTGCTTTCCCCATCCTTGGCCAAGTCCCACATTTCCATTTTGCACTGGGACCCACAAATCAGGTAGCAGGCCTGGAGGGGAGGGAGGGTACACAGAACTAAGGTCTCTTTGACTCCCTCTGGCTTGACTCTTTTTCCCCAGTGGGGAATGTGTTCTAGACTGAGTCCAGAGACGAGGAGGGGATGGCAGGAGGACGGAGCAGGGCTCGCAGTTCATCAGATATCTCTGTGCCCGAGACCTCTTGAGCCAAGGGTTTCAAACCTCAGAAGGTCTTTCTTTTCTCTGCCATACTATTCCTTTTCTGAAGCAGAGATGCAGAGCTGACTGGAAAAGGGGATGGGTCACGGGATAAAAGAAACTGTGGGGAGAAATGAAACCATTTGTGTCAAAATAGTAGCCCACTGTAGGTATTAATCCAGCAAACCACTTATTCATAGAGCGTTATATACCTACCTAGGTACAAAAGATAAGGCTTTTGTATTTAATTCTCTGAGAGAAATATTGTATATCATGCATTTTAACAAAAGAAAATTGCATCTGAGATAGTTTAGGTGAGAAGCAATTTATTCTTCTGATACCCAACACTCTCCCTGGCAAAGGTTCGAGAAGGTCAGGCTAGTCGATAATGTCCTTTGTCTTCACTGCTCTTCCCCTTGCTGCAAAGCTGGCCAAGGAGTGAGGCAGTGGGGACAGAGGAATTCTCAAATGCGTCTGACCCATTTGCCTCAAACCCTTTCCCCAATAAGCCCTTAATGTAAAACTCAAACAAGCACCAGCATTCCAATGAACAGGCATTCAAAACCTGCCCTGCCCTCCACCTGCCATGCAGTGGAGACTGAGGAAACACTTAAATTATAGAAATATAGAGTATAAAGAATATAGAAATGTATGCTGCATAGAAATCGAAGCCAAAAGGACGCAGGAAAAGAGAAAGAAGGAACGCTAAACTCGAGTCGCACCTCCCGGTTGAGGCCTGTCTTCCTTCAACGGGAGGCTTGTCCAACCTACCTTTCCCCACCAGGGCCCTCAGCTTTCTGGGTTTTGTCCTCCTGTATTTTGGCACTTGATAAATTTCTAAAGACATAGTGTCATGGTCACAAGCCCAGTGATTTTACTGTAATTCCTAGTGACTGGTCAATCTCAGGACAGTACTTGGCTTGGTAGACACACAAGAGCCCCTGAGAGAAGAAAAGCCATGTAAGGGTGCGTTGTCTGGGATTTTCTTGTAAATCAGCTAAAAGAAGGGAAGAGGCTCCATCCCAAATCAGGGGGAAAAGAGAAAAGAGTGTGTCTACACCATTTATTAAAACTCAAGAATAATAATAGGTTCATTTATTTGTACTTAAGTATAAGTCCAGTACTGGACAGCCACACACACAAAAAAAATAAAAATAAATAAATAAATAGAAAAGAAAAGAAAGAGAGAATAGAGTGCTAAGCTCTCTCCTGATTTTCTTTGGTTTTGATTTTTGCAGCTGCCATTCCTCAAGCCCCAGTACCACAAGGTAACTCTCTTTTATTAAAAGTATAACCTGTCAAGTATTGAGTGGAATTATTTTGATAATTCATAAAAGCAGAATGGACTTTTGTCTGTCCTGGCTGCCATGAGGGGAAGGAATGGGTGGGTGGAGCCCTCACACATGGGTGGGCTGTCTACATCTGTGCTGAACTGATTTGTTTGGCAGGAAGCTGAGGAAAGCATTAAAGTATAGGCTGGATGCCCCACACATGCCACGCGCGTATGTCCAATCCAGTTCCAGGCTCACCTACCATCAATTTTAGGGTCCTGCCTGCCAGTCATACATCTTTCATCCTCTTACATGCCCTGTCAGACATACAACCACTCACACCAACCAAGCCACCACCATGTCTACACCAGCATGATCCCTTCCCATTTTGTGATTCTACTGTTGAGCTCGATTGATGGAATTCTGGATCCTGGGCAAATGGAGCGTGCAAGCCTGAAGAAGCCAACCATGGGTCTGTCGTCTGCTCTTACAGGAGGAAGTAACTCCTGCGGGGGAGTAATTTCAAGTCTCTCAGGCTCCTTCTCCAGCCCTTGGTATCCTGCAAACTACCCCACCAGTGTGGAGTGCGTCTGGGTGATACACGTGGCTGAACGGTTCCACATAGAACTGATGATCCCAAGCCTGAAGTAAGCAGCTTTGCCTTTCTCAACCTTACAGGCCAGATTAGATTTGAATTCTGCTTTCTTCAAAGAGGTGGCCTTTCTGTGTGACAAATCCTTTCACATTTTAGGTGAGTCTTGGTCTGGTCATCTGAGCTGTGGAGTCTTGTAATCACTTAGCCCTACTTCCTATGCAATGAGAGCTACTCCGTGAGCACCCCTGACCCAGGGCACCCACCCCCAGCTAGGGCGACCCATGCACAACAGCCTCACCCCTACACTCCCACGCAGCCCCATTTCAGAGCAAGCTTCTTCCTCCTGCTGAACCCAGATCTGCTCTTCCTTATTGCCATTGTCTGGTCTTCATTCTTCCGTCTGATGTTACATGAAACAAATCTGTCTCCTCTTTCCTTCAAGAATTTCTATCATGTCTCTACCAAGATTTTTCTTCTACAGAAAAAAATTCATTCATTCATTCATTCATTCCCTCGTGGACTTTGTACCTCCTACCTCTTTCTCCAGCCGTCACCCATTTTTAAGGAATTCATCCTGCATGCTTATACAGACATGTGTATACGTTTTCTTATATACACATACATAGTTGTACACCTGAGTAACTTTTTATGAAAACATTCCTTTTCCTGATCGTGTTTAACCCTGGTTTCATCTTTCTATGCGGGGTTGTGTCTGGCTCATTCTCTCTCCCTCACTGGCCCACAGTATGCCCCAGGCCTCTGCTCTGTTTTCCACCTGTGTCCATTGGCAACAGCAGTCGAGGGTCTGAGTGGTTAAGTGCGGCCTTCAGAATGTAAAACGGTAGGTGATGGACAGATGGGTGGATTAGATTGGTTCTACCTGGTGGCCAAATTCCTTCTGGATAGGGAGGACACAAACTAATGTCAGGGGGCATTATGTATTATGAGCAAACTATTTATCATTCATTCATTCATTGAGCACACATTTATTTGTTGAAAGCAATGTGAGAAGATTTGATACCATGTATTTAAAATCTGTGAGATTCAGGGCCGGCCCGTGGCTCACTCGGGAGAGTGCGGTGCTGATAGCACCAAGGCCCCCGGTTCGGATCCCATATAGGGATGGCCGGTTGCTCACTGGCTGAGCGTGGTGCTGACAACACCAAGCCAAGGGTTGAGATCTCCTTACGGGTCATCTTTAAAAAAAAAATAAAATAAAATCTGTGAGATTCACAGTTCTAATATTTTGGGGCACAGAGTGTCATTTTATCACTTCTGAAAAACAGTTATTCCAAACAGCTGTAATGGCCCACACTCCCTGTAATCTCAAGGTTGTTATTTCCAACACAAGTTTCCCACTGTAATTTCTGAACATACAAATCAAGGAGCTGTGTAATGTGTTGCCTAGAGCCGGAGTGTAGTTGCCGATTTGGGGGTTTTGATGTTTTTAAGACTAAATCTATTGATACTGGCTTTTTGTTTCTCAGGACATAGGTTAGTTATTATTTACACAGTGCTTCTAAACTGGCAGTGCTTATAACCTCCTACAGGACACCTGGCTAGGTCTGGAGACATTTTTGATTGTCCAGTTGGGGGCGTTTCTGCCATCTAGTGGTTGGAGGCTGCAGATGCTGCCGAGTGTCCTCCAGTGCACAAGAAAGCTCCCCCACCCCCACCCAGCCAAGAATTATCCAGTGCCAAATGTCAGTAGTGCTGAGACTGAGAAACCCTGATTTACACTAAAGCTGGGCTTGTTGGGTTTCTTTTTTTTTTTTTTTAATTTCAGCTTCTACAGAACTTTGCTTCACTCAATTTGTAAAAATTATATCCATATTTAAATGATGCCAGTTCGTTCTTGCTAAGTGAAGTGTGTCCTGTTTTCTGATAAAATAATTTCCCACATTGCAGTGTCATTTGTTACTTCCACACTGCAGTCACTTACACACAAATGTTATCACTCACTTTTTTAAAAAAAATTAAATATGGGTTATTTTGAGGTACTTGGCTTTTACTTCACAGGAACAGATATGTTTTGCAATAAGCAGGTTTCAAATCCAGCATTTACTTTGTGTACAAATGTAATTATATCCACTGGGTATATATTATGCAATGGGTATTTATAACGTAGGCATCAAAGGCTACTTGTTGTTGTTTAGATGCAAATGTGTGTATTTCACATTTTTATCATATTAGATAAATGTTGATATTCTTTCAACATATATTTATTGAGCCCCCACTCTGCGCAGGCACTGGTCTAGGAATGAGTTTTTAGTGCTGAAGAAGACAGGATCTCTGCCCTCACAGAGTTTATTTTCTAGGTAGGAAGACAAATAGTACTCAAATCAACCAATAACTCCATGGACAATTTCACTTAGTGACAAGTTGATAAATGCTATGAAGAAAAAATATATACATATATGGTGATGGGACAGAGAGTGAATGGGGAAGACAGCATAGGTAGGACAGTCAGAGTCAGCCTCTCTGACCGTCCAGGTTAGTTGAAGCCCGTCATGAAAACACTTGGTTTGAACCAGACAGTTCAGGCATTGGCAGGAAGAGTCTTACCCTACAGGCCCTTGGAACTTTCACATCTGTCATCATTTCGCCACCCCAAAGAGTGGCAAGATTTGAATTAAAGGGTCGGGGACATTCAGAAGACACTCAAGGCAGAGAGGAAGGGGGTGGGAGAAACTGACGGCCAAGATACCAGCTGGGACGCCACTGAGACAGACCCGGAAGGAGATGATGAGAGCCCAGCAGACTTGGGCAGCCCCCGTAGGGAAGAACAGGAGGGCAGATTAAAGTGACATCCAGGAGGCCAAGTGACTCGCGGGGGGGTGCGGGGGGAAGGAAGTGGCAAGGATGACCGCAGTGTCTGGCTACACAAACGATGATTCTATTAAAAGCCTTCTGCAGATTTCCTTGGGGAGATTCACTTTGCCTTCACGTCCTCAGGTTAGAGGACATCCGCGGGTGCCCGTACGACTTCATGGAAGTGTTCGATGGACGGCAAGCTGCCTCGCTCTCCATGGGCAGGTTCTGTGCTGGGCAGGAGCTCACGTTCCTCTCCTCTTCCAATGTCATGACTGCAGTGTTCCGAAGTGATGCCATGATCACCAACACGGGGTTTTATGCTCTGTACAATGCCATCCAGCAAGACGAAAGGGAGCATGGTGGGTATCCTAACATGTGGGTATCCCTCAGAGGGAAGTTACATCTAATTTGTGTTCTTTCCCTCTAAGAGTGGAGATACTTCTAAATCTGATCTACTGAGTCCACGTTCATTAATGACACCCTCAGTGACATCCATGCTGACACTAACAGCTCCCCAGCCCTACCCCTCACCCCTGCTCTGCCACTCCCTGCCACTTTCCTACACCAAAGCATCCTGGCTGAAGAACCAGATGGCCGAAGTCTCATATCTTGCATTGGCTGTGTGTGTAGATGCAGGACCCAAAGGAGAACCTCTTTCTTCTCCAAAGGAAGGGACAATGCAATAGGAAAAATCCTTCTGGAACAAAACTGTCTCAGACTACAACTCCCAACCCACCTGCATCCAGCCAAATTCAATACAAACACCATCCAGAACACTTACAGACCTCTTAGGTTCTGCAGCAGGATATGGAAAATGTTCCAGAGTTCTCAGTGGCTTATGCTTAGGATGATCATGTAATTTATCCTCCAATTGGGATACTTTTGAGAATTTAGAGGGGACTCTAAAGTAATTAACAGGCATTAGTTGATCTACAGCAGTTGTAAGCCAAGACTGTTTCAGGCAAATGAGAACACAGGGCCACCCACTAGAGTCCAACAGCCTAAGCCTAAGGTGGGAACATGAGCCCAAGTGCGGGAGAACATTTTTTACCTGCAGAAGGTCCTAGAGTTTGGAGACAGCACCCCAGCTCAGAAGCCCCTGTTTTCCTGTCCCCCAGGTATGTCCCTGCGACTGGTGAATGGCAGCCACAGGTGTGAGGGACGGGTGGAGGTGTCCTACAATGGCACCTGGGGCACAGTGTGCGACGACAGCTGGGATTTGACAGATGCCAGGGTGGTGTGCCAGCAGCTCGGCTGTGGTGAGGCCCTGTCGGCCCCAGCCCAGAGCTACTTTGATGGAGGCACTGGCCACATCCTTCTGGATGATGTGCAGTGCAGGGGGAGTGAAGCCAAGGTGTGGCAGTGCATGCACAATGGGTGGTTCTCCCACAACTGCGGCCACCATGAGGACGCCAGCGCCATCTGCTCCGGTGAGTGCCTGTAGGGACACTGCTCACTTTAGGGGGAGAGTCTCACCCACCAATGGCCTCTGGGAAGGGAGATGTCAACACCAGCAGGTGATATTCAGAAACAAGCCTTGGGCTTCAAGCCAGCTTTTTAAGTCAATCTGCTTAAGTCCTTTTTTGTTCTTTTTCTCTTAAATTGCCACATCTGTAAAATGTTCAAGGTTCCACCCAAAAAGCTGTGATGATTAAGTAGCATTGGTATCATCAGACATCCTGCTTCTAGAATGACCTGGCATGGTTCACTCCCTCCTGAATAGGAACAGTAGCTGGTGTCCAGCAAGTGCTTGAAGCACGGCAGTCTCTAGACTGAAACGAGCACACTTATGTAATCCTCCAATCTTCACAACTGCTGATCAAGTAGAGACTATCAGCACCCTCATCTTATCTATAAAGGAACAAAGGCAGACCCACGATCACACGCAGGCCCGGACTCCGTAGGTGTTGCACGCCTGGGGTGCTGTGTTAAACGACTGAGCTCAACTCTGTTACTAAAGCTCGGACAGCCCCATAACTGACCAAAAGCAAATAAATAAATGGTTTAACTTGAGACTCAACGAGACTGAAAAGCAAGGGTGTGCTCCCCCACCCCGTGGGCACTGCCCTAGGCTGCCAATCTTGTGACTATCATTGACAGGTTGTGATACTGCATTCTCAACTGCCCAGAATAGAGTATGTTTGATCCTAGAGAAAAATGCCTGATTTTTTAAATGAATTATGTGACTGCCTTACTCAGTCATCTCTCACTCTCTTCTGTCTTTGAGTAGGCGTTGGTGGCAGTCCTGACGTGGGAACAACAGGTATTGCTTTTCCACTCAGTTCAACCAGTTGCCAGGTCGCTGACGCATGTGAATCTTGGCTACTCTTCAGTTCTGAAGTTGGGGCCAGTCCAATTAAAGCATCTGTTACTAATTAACAGAGCTCATTAGGGTTGACAAAACGGTGGGGCTGAGGGGCAGCAGAGGGTAGAGAGAGAGAAAGGCAGGAGGGAGAGAGAGAGTTCAGAGTCACCAGAAATGCCATCTCTGTGGGGAAGAAACAAATCTCTCACTTCTCCATGCACTTACTGTGCAAATGTCCCAGCTCTTTTTTTTTTTTTTTTTTTTTTTTTTTTTTTTTTTTTTTTTTTTTTTTTTTTTTTAAAA